GGGTGGCCGTGGCCGACGAGGTGCCGGCCGCAGCAGAGGTGGTGGCGGCACCGGAGGTAGAAGCAGACGCGGAGCCGGAGTCGGAGGCGGAGGGGGCGGAGGAGCTAGCCTGGGTGGAGAGGGTGGTAGCCGGGGCGGGAGCGGCGGAAGAAGAGACGGAAGCAGAGGACTCAGCCGGGGGCGCGGCGGCGGAGGTCTCGGTGGTGGCGGGCGCGGGCGCCGCAGTGGTGGTAGCCGGAGCGGGGGCGGCGGTGGTGGTGGTGGCGGCAGCGGTGGTCTCAACGGCGCCTCCAGAGGGGCTGGGGGTCGGAGAGAGGCCGCACTTTGCGGCGGCGCTGGTGACGCCGGAAGAGTAGTAGATCCAGATGGAGAAGGTGTTTGCGCAGGTCATGCAGCGGCCGTAGCGTTCGTTCCACTCCGCGTTGGTGCAGAAGCCGTCCTCGCGGCCGAGGGTGATGAGGAGACCTGTGAGAGAGAGTGTGTGTCAGTTTTGTTTACCCGGGACTACGCAGTGAGGATAAGAAAAGAAGCATATTGACGTACCGCAATCTTCGTGGCACTGGTAGCGGGGGGTACCCGGCTCCTGGCGCTTCTCAACGGCGGGAACGGAGTTGGGGTACTCGAAGCGAGGGTGGACCTGGGCGAGGGCCATGGAGGCGACGGTGGCCAGGACGGTGCAGGTAACGAATGAACGCATCTTGAAGGTTTGGTATTAAGGATTAAGTGGGAGGAGGCTTGAAGATGCTTGTAGAGAAAGACTTGAAGGGGAGGGGGAGAATTGTCTTCGTGCCAGTCAAGTTGCAATTGGGGAAACGAGCGTGAGGAAGAAAGGGAGGGTGCGAACGAGGAGGAGCAGAGGTTGGGAAAAAGAGGTTATTATAGCTTGTCGCTTTGTTTTCGTCACGGCGTTCAGGTACGGGAAGTCAGGTACAGGAACAGGCATAGGAGCGGCGAGTATGCATGCATCAGTCTAGACTCTCCCGGCCTGTGAATGTGGGAACTGGGAATGAATGTTCACGTCGGCCTCTTCCGTAGCCAAATTGGCCGACGAAGTCTCCATCAGCTGGCAGACCAAGGCCAGGGTATCCGTAGGCGATAGGCGTGGAAGGGCGTACGAAAGGATAAGACAAGGCCAGACCAGGTAGGGCCAGGCAAGGTAATGAAATGAGGCAGTAGTCCAAGGTCCACGGATCAGGGCAGTGCGCGCGGGACGGAAGGAGAGCAGGCTAATTTCGTACACTAACACGGGACCAGATGGAGGAGGCGAGCAAGTATCCGATCGTGGATGCTCGGATTTGCCCCGGATCGCCGAAGCAGAACCCAGCGCGCTTGTAGTGTAATTTGCGGGATGCCGAAGAAGCTCGTACCAAAGGGAAAAAGGACGAGGCCAAAAGATCCTTGTCATGCGTGGTCGTTGGCATGGTATGGGGACTCAAGTGGAGAGGAGAGGGGGGGAGGGGGAGGAAATAGTCTAGAGAGGAGGGTACCCGCCGAACCAACGCAACTCTAAGTGTACATACATGGTACGGATGCGGCCCTTGCTTCTTGGCTCTTTGACTAAGAGTTCATCGAGAAGGAGGGGTGGAGGCTCGGAGACGAGGACATGGGACGTCGGATAAGAGGAGTCGTGAAGTCCGAGGAGCAGAGCAGAGAGGAGGATGTGGCGAGAGATCGAAAAGGGAGAATGGACTGAAGCGGATGGCGTCGGCCATGGCTCGGCTGCTCACTCCTTCTCGCGGTTCTGAAAAGAGCTGTTGAATCCAGAGAGGTTGATGGAGATGCCTTGCTCTCGTCTGAGTCGTCTCTCTCACACTTGGTCCAATGGTTTACCGCCGGAAGTCGGAAAATCCCAGCAAAGGGTGACCTGATGGCTGATGCCAAGGGCTGAAAACATGCGGTTTGACCGAGAGAGCGCGTGCAAGTCGCCAATTCGCCTTCCCGAAAGGGGTTATCTGATCCGGCAACCGTTTTTTTTAGTGTATGAGAGTGTGCCTGTGCCTCACCGATATCGTCGACGGTTCATCTACGGGGGTTACAAGGAACCAGGGACCAGTCACCTCGAGTAAATGTACGTGATTGGGGGATCGAGGTCTGTGGAGTTTGAGAGGATGGCTGGGCGGCGTCTCTGTGGGATATGACTGTTCGTGGCGTGAGGAGGCGTTTATTCCTTGCGTGGGTGGTGATGGTGGTGGACTGGTGGACTGGTGGTAGGATGAATCGTGATCCTTGTTTGATTCTCATGTTTTGCTGCGGGCGAGGTCGGACCGGAACACACACACACAGAGAGAGAGAGAGTCGAGGCCTGCGAGGATTCATCCATGTTGACCCATGCTGCGTCCGGGCTGATTAGGGTTAAGAACCGACGGGTGACCTTTTGAAGCGGAGAATGGAGGACCACCGATCAGACCAGGGGTGGAGGAGGTGGAGGAGCAAGTGTGGATAAGGGTAGATAAAGTACCTAGCGTTGCGGATCTTGGTATGCATCTAATCTTATCAATCACATCAGTCAAACGACAGCCCATCAGCCAGCAGCCAAACGAGCCAAACAGTTCAACAGCCCGTCCGGCGAACCATTCCCAGTTTGGATATATTGCTCCTGCTGCCAAGAGCCGCGGGCGGGCCGGACGGCGTCGTCCCATTGGACAAAGGGATCTGATAAACGACTTTGCTGTCTTGGCCTGGTAGGAAAGAGTTTTTTCGAAGTTCTGATTGTGTCAATCTCACGCTACTCTGCAACCTGGTTGTTTGCCAAGGGGACTTGTTGCGATGGTATCTCCAGTTTCCCTCCCCACCAATTTTGCCTGGGCATTAGATCCTTCGCAAAAAACCGTCTCCGGCCCCTTCGGCGGTCGAGCAAGAGATGAATCCAAGAGGAGAAGAAGAGCCGAGGGTTCTATCTGCTTCGTATTCCCAACTTTTGCCGCGCAGCGGTCTCCCCTGTTCGTCCACATTCTTGGCGGCCCATGTAGTGTAGATACCTGATTGCCATCTCTTCCCAAAAGATCTCCCCCCAATTCATTCATCTAGTCCGCCAGGCCAAAAGGAAAGTCTTTGTAGACATGAATGGTACTTTCCAAGACTTCTCCAAGCAAACCCGGTCGCCACGCTGCACCACCACCCTTCATCCATGCGGCCACGCCTCCCATCCAACAGGATTCGGCCAAGTTGTGGCTGCCCCCAGCACCACAGAGTTGCCATTGTTCTGGGCCGGTCGTATGGGCACTATTGGCGAAGCCTGATGGATACCCGTGCCTTTTCCACTTCCTATTGGGAATGGAACTTTTTATTTTTTCCCTCATTACTTTCTGGGCTGGATTCCCCTCTGGGCGGGGTACCCGCTCTTCGTGACTCTGTGAGCCCATTTCCTTCGTTTGGCATGTGCGAGCGGAGGTGGTTGGTGTGAAGTTGACCCAAAGAGGGGAAAGAGATGGGCATGGTTGCATGCCGTATGCATCGGCTCTCGCAGAAAGGCGTAGGGAAAATCTAGGTAGACCTGCCGCAGTATAACTTGGGCATCATTGCCATCCGGTTCGTCCCACAGGATGTTAGTTACTGCCCCCCTTAATTCTTAATCTTTCCCAACCCCCCCGTCGTCGCCTCGTAGGCTTCATCCCACAGTTGTCCTAAGCATCGCGTGTTTTGCCTCGTCGTCTTGCCGGATGACCCTCTCCTGGTTTCCCTGAAAAGCTTCTTTCTTCCTAAATCCAGACACAATGCACGCATCCCTCAAGACGCTCCTGGCCCTGGGCCTCGCCTCGGTCGCCTGCGCCCAGCACACGAAGCAGGATGACGAGATGGGTCCCGCCGCCTTCATGTGGCCGGCCGATCGAGTATGGAGCGGAGACATGGACAACCAGGCGCCCTGCGGTTCAAAGTCTGGTGCTGCCAACAGGACCGAATTCCCCTTGGGTATGTTGCAAACACGACTTGAAGTCTTGATAAAGCCACAAGTTGTTATAAAGAGTCTTTACTAACAAGTACAATACATTAGTGGGCGGCAAAGTGGCCCTCGTTGCTCAGGATGACTACTACAACAGCAAAATCTCCATCTCGTACAAGAACGGTAAGCCTTCTCGAACATCATGATCCTACACTAGAAGGGATGGAAAGACTCCACAACCACCCTCAAACTCCCTTCACACTCAAACACAACATATCGGAACCCCCTTTTCACCACCGTCAACAGTCCCAACTAACAAACCCCAGACCCAACCTCCAACAGCGACTTCACAACCCTCATCGAGGAACAATCCGTCTCGGACCTGAACCCAGGCCACACCTGCGTCAACGTCCCCAACCCGCCCGCCTCCGTAGCCGCAGGCTCCAACGCGACCCTCCAAATCATCTACCGCGCCGACTGGGACGCCCCGCACAATCAGACCTTTTACGCCTGCGCCGACATCACCTACGTCGAGGCCGCCACCTTTACCACCCGCATCCCCTGCTTCAACGCCACCGAGCCGGGCGAGGACGACATCCCCGCCACGGCGTCGCCCTCTGCCTCGTCGACGAATGCTGCTTCCAACTCTGGTTCTGGTAGCGGCGGCGGCGGCGGCGGAAGCAACAAGCTTTCTGGCGGTGCGATTGCCGGTATCGTGATTGGTGTCGTCGCCGGCGTCGGGCTGTTGCTTGGCGCCGCGCTCTTCTTGTACCGCAAGAGCCAGCAGAAGAAGCGCAACTCGAGGCTGGCGCGCATGGAGGAGAATGCGAAGCGGTCTGAGCACTACAATGTCGGTAAGGACTCGACGTCGCAGAATAGCGTGCAGCTGAACAACCTTCCTTGAAAGGAGGTGGCCGTTGCTGCGTCGTCATCTGCTGAGGCAGGCAAGTCACGTGAATAGTAGGATTATCCAAAGGGAGGGCGATACGCGGTATGTGAATGAGACATGAGGTATTAGTGACGGACTGGATGAGTTGGGTTTGGTGGATTTGATTTGGTGGGCTGGGGAGGTTTATGTGTTATGCGCGATGAGATGATATCCAGTTCTTAGTTTAGTAATGACTTTGTTTCCCTCATTTGTGAATTGACGCCGAAAAAGTCAAAATTAGGGTGCGTGCTCCCAATAAGTTCCCGCTCGAAATCAATGTGTATGCGAGACATCACTCGATCCTTGCTCGGATAGGATAATGCTAACTCGAATTCATTTCTTCATATATGATAGGTGGACATATATGTTTGCTCATGTATGGCTGGTATATACATGTATATGTGTATAGTATGTTTGTTCAGATGACTCTTATTCGTCTCGGTTCTCTGCATCAGAACCAGAGTGATCCTCACCACTCGACCGCTTGTCGGATTCCAAAACACCATACCTATCTCGAGATTAGTCACCAGCCCAACTGAAGTAAAGGGAGTCTCTTGAGAATCTTACCATGAAATAACAGCCAAACCCATAAACGCAGCCACGCAGCTGAAAAACATGGCAACATAACCCTTGGGCGTGAATCCCTCAGGCAAAGGCCCAACAGGCCGGTTCTCGCCAGTGAGGTCCAGCACGTCCTTGGTGTTGCCCGCCGCGTTGCCCTGCGTCGGCACCCCGGCGGCGCGGCACGCCTTCAAATGATCCTCGGGAACCTCGAGGCCTTGCAGGACATCAGGCGCCTCGATAATAGTCGCGATGAGCCCCTGGTCCATGTGCCACTCAATATGGCAGTGGAACAGCCATACACCAGGGTTATTCGCCTTGAAGCGGATGACAAAGTTGCCGTTGCCCTCGACGATGAGGGTATCGCGGCGCATGGGGTAGCGCGGAAATCCGACGCTGCTGTCGTTGGAGAAGGCGCCGGCGTCCTCGTCGGAGCGGTGGACGACCTGGAACTGGTGGCCGTGGAGGTGGAAGGGGTGCTTGCCGTCGTCCTCGTTGTTGAGGACGATCTCGACGACCTCGTTGTGCTTGAGGACGTGCGCGAGAGAGTTCGTGCCGTAGACGCGCGGGTTCGCGGCGTTGGCGGCGCCGACGGTGAGGGCGCTGTACAGGGAGGGGACCTTGGGGGAGACGTAGGTCTTGTCGTTGAAGAAGGCGCTGTTTTGGTTGTTAGCTGTACACATTCTTTTGGGGAAAAGGTCGTGAACCTACTAGTTTGCGCCGTCGGCGAGGTTGTCCATCTTGACGGAGAGTTCAAAGGAGTAGTCGACCTTGTCGTAGAGCTCCTGCTTGTCAAAGGGGACCAGCTCGAAGTCGTCAAAGGCTTCAAACTCGTCGACGGTGGCGGGTTCGGGCAGGGGCTTCTTGTCGTCGTAGACGAGCCAGCCCGTGACGTTGGAGTCCTGCCCGTCGGGGATGACGTCAAAGAGCTCCTCGTCCATGGCGCCGACAATGGCAAAGTTGTCCGAGGCGTCCTTCTTGGTGGTCAGGAGGACGCTGTACCGCTGCGCGGGGGCGACGTAGAGCATCTCGGCCTCAGCCTCCTCGGTCCACACGCCGTCGACCTCGACGACGCGCAGCGTGTGGCCTTCAAACCAGATGTACTGGGACGCGAAAGCGCCAATGTTGACCATGCGGATGAGGTAGGTCTTGCCCGGCTGGACCTTGACCTGGAGGTTCTGGGTGTCGTTGAGGAGCGCCGCGTTGGGGACGGGTTCGGCGCCGGTGGGGTTCTCGACACTGATCAACTCCTTGATGAGAGTGCGCGTGGACTGGTGGTACCAGTCGGAGAGGGTGATGACGAGCTCCTCATCGTACTTTCCCTCATACGGACCCTTGGGGTCGTGGATGAGCAGAGGACCGCGGAGACCTTCGGGGTAGGTTCCGTCATTGTGTGCATGGTACCAGTAAATGCCAACCTGATCAAACTACAGAAGGGGTATGAGCAGATTGTATTGGGCAGTTGCAAAAGGGATAGTTTGCGGAAATTCACCTTGAAATCATACGTAAATGAGGAACCGGGCGGGATGGCGCACTGGGTGACGCCAACGGCACCGTCCATGTGGTTGGTCCCATTCTGGAACAGGCCGTGGAAGTGAAGACTGGTGCTCGCGTTGCCCAGGTGGTTGTGGACGGTGAGGACGAGCCTGTCGCCCTTTATGGCCTCGATGAGAGGCAGAGGCCACTGGCCGTTAACGCCAATGGTTGGTTTATCAAAGGCGCCGTCGGGGTTTGTGAGGACCCATCCAATGTTCCAGTCGAGCTCGATGGTCTTTGCCAGGGCGGAGGAGATGAGAAGCGTCAGAGCGGCGACTCGGGCCAAGATGGCCGTGGTTGAGGATGAGAAAGCCATAATAGCCGGAGCCGTCGTTGCCGTTGCCGTCTAATTCAGGGTGCGCTTTATGGCCGGCTCAAAATGCCCTCAACTCTCAATACCAGACGCCAGCTGAGCTGGTGCTGCCTCGCGTGGTTGTTGTGCAGTCTCGCACGGCCGTTCAGATACAAGAGAGTTCGTCGTGAATCATAGACTCTTGTGGAATGCTACCACAGAAAAAAAAAAAAGCTTCTACGAACCGGGCCGAGCGCGGAGGAACATTGGATGTTGGAGACTTTGACAGCGGGCGGCGGCAATCGAGGGACGGGTGGGGAAGATATGCACCACTAGACGCGAGGGCTCGGAGGAAAAGGAATGGTGGAAGCGAGAGGAGGGGGGAGATAAGTGAGTGAGAGCACACGAGTGAGAAAAATTGAGTAATGAGAGTGAGGAGTGAGCTGTGGAGTTGAGGAATGAGACAGCATGTGAAAAAAGTGTCGCCTGTTAAAAATTGCACCACTCGGTAAGGTACCTAAGCTATGGATACGGAGTGCAGATTGAAATCTTGGCGATCTGATAAGGAAAAGCCCGCCGTTGCCTGCCCGGTCCTTCCCTGAAGAGTGCGGTGAGTACCCGCTGTGGTGGGGGCGTGCCGCCGGTGGGCGGATCGAGGAACAGGCTTATCTGATCCTGAGGATCCAATACACGACATGTCACGCTGCCACGGCCCACAGCGTCCTTCACAGCGTGGTGTCCCCCCCTGGGTAAAGCCTGTCAGAGATGCGCCAGCGCACCTGTCGACACCGCCAGGTGGCTCAGTCAGCAGGCAACCCTCCCCCGAGGATGCCCCTCCCCCACTCAAACCCCTGAGGTGAGGTGTGGTGAAGTGCACTCGGCTTTACGACGCCAGCCGAGATCGCTGGCGCGACAGACGATGGTGAAAATCGGCGGGGTGAAGAATGGGGAGAAAAAACTCGGAATCCGCACCCTCACGCGACACAATCCCCTCAGCGCCCCCCCGAAGCCACTTGACCACTTCCTCCCGTGTGTCTAGTTCTCTCCCCAGCTCCGCGTGCCTGTGCTCGTGTGAGTCTTTGTTTCTCGGCAGAGCCGCTTAATCCTGCCTCCAATCTCCGTCTCTGGCCCACGTTCCTTCGTCCCGTCTCATTGTCGCCCGATATCCAGCACCACCATCGCGGCTCTCAATCCCGCGATACACTTGCAACGCGAACCAACGCGACAACCTCGTCCCCGTCTCCCATCGAACAAGATCATCTGTATGGTCTTGCTGTCTCTGCACCTCTAGACGCTGCAGCCGCATCTAAAGCTCGGCCGCGCCTCATTGGATTGGGCCAGCGTCTCTTCTCTCAATCCATACCCGGGTTGCCACTCAACCTCATCTAACACACAACGAGCATAACGAAAAGACACTCTCACAATGGAGGACCTATTCTCACTCCCCAGTACAGAATTCCTCCAACCCATGAGAGAGACGCCAGTCACTAACAAACCACACAGTCTTCTTCATCACTTTCCGCGAGTCCCTCGAGACCGCCATCATCGTCTCCGTCCTCCTCGCCTTCATCAAGCGCACCCTCGCCACCAAAGATGACCCCGTCCTCCACCAAAAGATGGTGAAGCAGGTCTGGCTCGGCACCGCCGCCGGCCTCGCCACCTGCGTCATCATCGCCATGGCCATCATCAGCGGCATCCACAGCCTCGGCGCCGAGCAGTTCGCCGCCGCGGAGAGCATCTGGGAAGGCATCTTCTCCCTCAGCGCCTCCCTCATCATCACCGCCATGGGCGCCGTCCTCCTGCGCGTCACCAAGCTCCAGGACAAGTGGCGCCTGAAGCTGAGCAAGGCCCTCAACGCCAGCGAATCCCACTCGGGCCCCTTTCGCGATCGTGTAAAGTACCTCGGCGAGAAGTACGCCCTGTTCCTGCTGCCCTTCATCACCGTCCTGCGCGAGGGCTTCGAGGGCGTGCTCTTTATTGCCGGCGTCGGTGTCAGCGAGACCGCCGCGTCCATTGCCATCTCGTCCCTTCTCGGCCTCGCCCTTGGCGCCTTTGTCGGCTACTTTATCTACAAGTGGGTTTTTTTTCTTTTGGTTTTTTTTTCTGGTGGTGGACCAAGACGTTGCCGTGCGCTGCATCCGCTGACAATCTGTACAGGGGTTCCAAGACGGCACCAATCCAAATCTTCCTCATCGTCTCGACTTGCTTCCTGTATCTCATTGCCGCCGGCCTCTTCTCCAAGGGCGTCTGGCATTTTGAGCAGAACGAGGTGAATAGCTCCGTCCCCAGTCATCGTCATTGGGCGATACTAACACAAAGTCAAGTGGAACAAGATTGTCGGAGGTGACGCGGCAGAACTCGGCTCCGGCCCCGGCTCCTACGACATCCGCAGAAGTGTCTGGCACGTCAACGTAAGACCCTCTCCATTCCGATATTTGTCAACGTACAATGTCCACCTCTAACACACCCCGCAGTGCTGCAACCCCGACCTCAACGGCGGTGGCTTCTGGGGCATTTTCAACGCCGTCCTCGGGTGGCAGAACTCGGCCACCGTCGGCTCCGTCGTCTCCTACAATCTCTACTGGGTCGCCGTCGCCGCGGGCTTCTTTGTCATGATCTGCAACGAAAAGGGGTACTGGTCCTTCGCCAAGAAGTCCAAGCACCTCGAGCACGAGGGCGACGACCAGGAGCCTCTCCTGAGCAGGCCCGCTAGGTAAGTTTCGAATTCGGTCCCCCCTCCTCGGCGGGGGAAACGCACACAATACAAGGGAAACCAAAAAATGGCGATGACTTCAAAGGTGGCCCAATTTCTATTTGGATCATGTCGAAGTGGTGAAGCTCGAAGACGCCTTGGTAAAATAGAGAGAGAGAGAGAAGAAAAAATAGTCGATTATCGGTGTTATATATTGTACATACATTTATGTATCAGGACACGCAAATATTTGATCGCTTAGCCTAACCTTATCTTTCTAGACTACTTTCGCTTGGTCTAGATGCGTCTTCCAGTTCTGCAAACAGACCCAAGTTGGCCTGATGCGCTGTGCCTTCCACCAAACCACTTCTTTTCCGACACTAGAATCATAGACGCTGGGTAGTTGTGAAGAGTTCATGTAATAATGGACGTGATTTTCCCCGTCTTTTCCTTCGTCTTTTCTTTTACTGCAAGTCGGTTCCACTGGATAAGACGTGAGGCCCTCAACTTGTTTCCCTTCTCGGGTCATCTCTTCTGTCTCATCACTGTATTACCATGTGTAGTAGGTCTCTTGACTGTTTGTACACCTCGCCGTCTACCTGAGCAACATCCCGTTCGACCAGTTAATAGAACTTCTGATTTGCGGGTTGATCGTAGACGGCCCTACTCAAAGAACTCTCAAACAAATCCCGAATTCCACCGACGTCATAGCCGGTATTGATAGCCAGCTGCTACATGGTGCGAGCCTGCTCGTCCCCGGGGTAACTCGAGTGTATCCTAAGTGAATGGCACAATGGTTCAGCGCTTCCGGGATCTTTCAAAGTGAGATAGAAAGCGGGCAAGTCTGCTTTGAATACATAAAGGGGGCCGGGAACGGGGCTCGAAACATCGGCGCGGCTGACGGTCGCGCTCCACGGCGGTCAGCTGCGCTACTTTAGGAACTTCGGGAACGGTGCCGACGAGGCCGTATGGCGTGGGGCCCTGGCCGGAGCCGTAGGCTATGTTGTCGAGGCGGAGAGGATTTTTCCGCCGGCGCTGTAGATACTGGGATCTGGGCGAGCGGGTAAGTATGCAGGAAGAGCCGGGGTCAGCGCCGTGGCGAAAAAGTTGGCGAGCATCATTGTCGAGGTGGTCAGAAAGATCACGACAGTAACTGGGTGGCTGGGTGATGTTTTAGGGTACTCATTATCTTTGTTGAGGTTGCAGCTACTTTATACACCTCAAGCCATGTAGAGATACCCCTCTGCGCCGGATCCATGACTGCGGGGTTTTGAAGGACAGAGGATCCCATGCAGCGTGTACGGTCCCAAGCGATTGACCGTTCAGCTCTCCGTGAAACTGCGGACTACCAATAATGAGAACCTGTACGACGAAGCTGGATTAAAACTATCAGCGGCTCACGATCTCATCTCGGCTGCTATTGCCGACGGCCTACTTTTGCAGTATCGGGGACCATCAGGCTTTTGTGCAGAATATTCCCCAATGCCAGCAGTGAGAAGATTGGGCAGATTGGAACCGTAAAATAGACTCGAGCTCGCTCTCTTGTCTTGCTTCTTGTCAACGGCTAAGATATGTACCTATGGACATGACGTCTCTCGGTATTAGTACCCATGTCGGGGGACATCAGCCGCCTGCAGATATGCTTATTCCGTAGGGCCGTAGGGTTATCGGGCGCTGTCCGGGTGGCGTCATGTTGCGGGGTAGCAGGGGGCGGGGGCGGGGGGCACCTGGTGGCTGGGTCACGCGGGTGAGCTCCGAAGGCCGGGCGTCGCGCCGGTGGGTAAATGTGTTTGGTTTGTCTTTGTTTTACCGATGAGAAAGCTATTTCCTCGGGGTAGCAGTTTGAGTATCGTATAAGCTTCTTCGCTCGCTGCGTGTACATTAGTGCAATGGTGACATTACAACGTCCCAGTACTGAGAAAGACCAATACCCAACAAGTTGCTATGAGCGGGCATCAACAATCAAAGAAATGAAACCTAAAAGTACTCGATGTTTCTTTTCATTAGGTCATGCTCACGCAGTCGTCGTCTTTGAACAATCAAGGTCAAGTACGTGACATTTGGTACGCAGAGTACAGACTAACAGCCGCAGAAACAAAGCAACGCTTCAAATTAACGCTCCAAAACATACTAGACACTCCCAAAGGTTCCATCAAACAGAATCCTTGACAACACAGAGACCCAAGGCTACTACATCGCGGCACCGCCCTTCTTCTTCTCTGCCTCACTTGCAGCCCCGAACCCCAACGCCTTGTTCAAAAGGTGGTCCACGGTTGACGATATCTCCCCCTTTGGCTTGCCATTACTGCGGGTACCATTGGCACTCTCGTCGCTGCTTCGATTCGTCACGCCGGACGTATTCGTCACGCCGGACGTATTCGTCACGCCGGATGTATTTGTCACGCCGGATGTATTTGTCACGCCGGAGGGATTCGTTTCACCGGTCTCCTCGGACACGTTCCTATTTGATCTAGGCAAATGTTGTCAGGTTTCTATGTTGGCTCCATAATATGCTCCCCTCTTTCACTCTCTTTCTCTCTCTCGGAAATCGAGTTCGAACATACTGTGGCTCAACGTGATGCTTCGCGGTCGCGTCTACTGCTGGTTGTTTGGCAGCGGGAGGAGCATGGACCTGCTCGCCGGCCCACGGATCGGTCTGTATAAAGTTGGCGAAAGAGTCGGGCATCTTGATGCTCACTGCTTTGAAAAAAAACGAAGCCATTGTGAATTGGTAGTTTTGACTGCTTCTAAATAGCTTTTACGGTGGCGTGTTAACAGGGCACAGGTCCCGTCACTACGTTGACATTGTGTACGCCCGGGCCCTCGTCCCTTTTTAAGCCCAGTGAAATTGGAATCAATTGTGCGTCACTCCGGGTCTGATATAGGCGGAGCCGAGAATGGCACCATCATCGGGCTGATCACAGGGATATTCGGAGTATGGGCTGTCTGGGGTTTTAGACATGCCGGGGGTATCGCAGTTCATTCTGTCACGCGCCCAATCAAAAACGTGAGCTGCCAGCAATATTCTTATCTCGCAAACACCCCAGCCTCCATTGAGCCCGAAAGAATCAGCCTCTGCTAGGATGTCATATATCGCTATTGGCTCTGGTATAGCAGCTCAGCTCCCCGTCACGGCGTCACGACGCAGGATCATCATTGTCGCCCTTTCCCCCCTTATACTCGTAGATGAGGCAACCGACCTTCATCCTGCCGCCAACACCACCGTTGCCGGTGCCTAACACAACATCAAGCATTAGCATAAATGTACGTTTACAATGTGAAGAAACTACGACAGACTCTGGCAAACCGAAACGGAAATCGAAGAATGGGTGTGAAAATCGGTCAAACTCACACTCATCATAGGTCGAGCTCATGATGTCACGACAGTCGGGACCCCCCTCCCCCAACGGACGCTGCAGGCTCTGTGTCCCAACGGTGACCCTGCAGCCCGGTTCCCACCAAACTCTAAAGTCGTGGTTGACGCCGTGCCAGTCCCGGTACCGCCAGCTGGCGGTGCGGACCAGGTGGCCGTTGTTGTAGGTGGGGTCGTCGGTCTTGTCGAGCGTCTGGGTCGAGGCGTACTGTTCGGAGCAGAACCCGTAGATACCCCGCCACATCATCTGGGGGTCGATGTCGGCGTGACCGCGGAAGTCGGCTTCGTCGTGGCACTGGACGGGGTGCATTTCGGGTTTGTAGACGGGTGTGAAGTAGGATCGCGGGGATATGTCGACGGCTGATGTTTGCGCTTCTGTGCGTCGCTCGTTAAGATGAATTGGGTTGGCTGCGATGCCTACGATCAAGATGTGTACAAAAAGAATGTAAATTTCCATTGGAGACATGATTATTCGTTTCTCAAAAGAATGTAAAAAGAGTGTAGCCAACTTCATCAATCTTAAAGGTGAAAGTCGTATCTACAGTCTGAAAATGTAGTCTGAAGAGATGAAGAAGAGCTCTCCCTGCTCGGGCAAGATGCTGCGATTCATGCTAATCAAGACTGTTGAAGTAGGACGTGTCGTTACGTGTGAGAAGCTGCATTCTTGAATTGCAGTGAGCAAATTACTCCCTTGGAGAATTTGTTGCTCTAATCCTGCGCATTTCGTACTACACTTACTTGCATTGTATGAGCACCTGGCGCGCCACGAGAACCGCTTGCGATATGTCACTCGAGCTACCGTCTCGTAGAGAGGGAATTCTCTTCAAAGGACGAAAGAACAGAGGCTTGGCTTATTTACTGTCGAGACCAACAGAGATTTCATTGTCCTCGGCTGTAATTGAATACTTGCCCTTTCGTACTACCACGCGTTGCCACGCCACTTTCTCGTCTTGGATGTAATGCTCACTGAGGGAAGTTGATGAAAGACAACTCTAACAATGTGATCGGGAAGGAAAGGATTAGTTAAAGGGCGGTTTCCCTGCGTTCTTGTGCATAACTGCTTGCTTTCTATTTGTCGATCAAGTCCCCATCGAGATCAAAGGAGGATCATTGAATGGCATTGTCCTTTATTAAGAGTCTTCTAATAACGGACAATACGCATAAATGACGCCGCAATTCAGCGGTCATGGAAGCATTCGACCATACGGTCTGGGCGGCAACTCAGTGTCCGGAGGGGGCATGTGCTAAACTCTCTTTTTCCGCACATGTGGGCGGGGGTCGTCCAAACCTTGCTGATGTAGTCACCACTCAACGTCGTCTTTAGAACTTTTTTCTCGTCTCAAATCGCACAATTACTCATCATTCGAGCTATGACTTTGCCGCAAAACTTGGCTCGACCCGGGTGCAAAGTGCTCTTACGCTGCTGACCCAAATTACATAACGAAATTAGAAAAGAGAAATTCCAGTCGCTACCTGTGCAGCTGATGACATGAAGTTGAAGTAGACGCATCTCCGCGGAGCAACAGGGTTTAGTCAGCTTGCGCCATGGTACTACGAATACTTGCTGGGTTCCTATTCATCCCCATCATGTACTGCTTTTCTACCGGTTAAAGACTGATTTGCTAGGATGATGCAAAGAAAACATTGAATCCAAATCAAAAACCAAGTAATTGCAAGGCAGCGGATGCAGTGTAGTCAAATATGGGTTGTATAAGACTGCTCAAACGTTGTTCAATTGACAAGCTCAACACCACGATCGACTAGCGCTGGAAGGGGTCGTCGGGGCGGGACGATCCCCGGTACTCCCGCCGCATTTCCGCCGAGTTGGCCGATATCCCGGCAAGTCGGCATTCTGGTTGGCTCGCCGAGCGGTTCCGGCCCAAAGAGCGCAAGGAAATTACTTTCCAGATTGGACAAGTCAATGGCCAGATGCTGTAGTTCTCAATGACTAATTCTAGAGTTTCAACTTCTTCTTCCTGCTCAGTTCCGCGGGGTAAAGTTCCTGCTACGGCTACTGCTATTCATTTACAGTAACCACGCCGCCTAACCTCGGTAAGAACGAAGACGATTAGGACGACTTTTTCATGAGTCAAAGAGGGCGGAATTATTCCCATACCTTTTAAGCGCGAAAACGCGAGGAGTGTTCCGACGGAACTTTTAAGCTTGCCCGGGTCCCCCTCCCCATCGTTGGCGCGCGGGAACGTCTGGCCTGCCTTTTGCTTATTCTCAGAATACGATCAACGCCCATTCGGGTCCATGACGCCACGCTCAGTCGCTCCTCGACATCAGACCGCATGTCGTCCAACGGATTGCGATGATGGACAGCACAGAAAAGGAGACGAGGTCTGACTCTTCGCCAGACGAGGGCGGCCTCGCTGGAGAGGAGACGCACCGGAAAGGGGGCCGCGTCGGGCGCGTGCTGAGTCGGATCGCGTCGGAGCCGGCTGCGGATCCCGGCCCTCCGCCTGACGGGGGATACAATGCTTGGATGGCCGGTGAGAATGAGATTATTCTACCCCTTTGCCGACGCAGCGGAGCTGACGGCCGTCATCACAGTACTGAGCGCGCACTTCATTTTCATGGATACATGGTGAGTGAGACACGGCGTGCTCCCGGCGTGCTCCCGGCGCAGCGTGACTTTCGGCAACGTGACTGACACGATGGCAATGCAAAGGGGATTCGTCAACTCATTTGGCGTATTCCAGACATATTACGTCCAAGAGCTAAAGAGATCACCTTCGGATATCTCATGGATCGGGTCGTTCCAAGTCTTCCTCCTCTTGTTCATTGGCGCCTTCTCGGGCCGCTTCACCGATACCGGGTACTTCCGACACCTCTACTTCTCCGGCTGCTTCTTCATCCTCCTCGGCATCTTTGCGACCTCATGGTGCACGCAGTACTGGCAAATCTTCCTGTCGCACGGCGTCTGCGTCGGCCTGGGCTTCGGCCTGGTGTTTTGCCCCTCCCTGGCGACCCTGTCAACCTATTTCGACAAGAAGAGGGCCATCGCTATCGGTATGGCGGCCGTCGGAGGCGCCTCTGGCGGCTTGGTGTTCCCGAGCACGGTTCGACAGCTGCTGCCGCAAGTCGGGTTCCCCTGGGCCATGCGCACGCTCGGCTTCATCCAGCTGGCGACGCTGACTGTCGGGTCCATTTTTCTGAAGCCGCGCATCCCCCCGCGCAAGGCTAGCAAGATGGTGGATTTGGCGTCCTTCAAGGAACTCGAGTATACGTTCTACACTGCCGGGGGATTCTTTGTACGTCACCCTTTTCCTGTGTATTTTGAAATGGTGCGCTGACTCGGCCACGTCAAGTCCTTTATGGGGGCGTACTTTGCGTTCTACTACCTGGCTTCCTTCAGTCGGGACGAGCTCGACTTCGCGTACACGGATTCGCTGAATCTCTTACTGGTCCTGAACGGCACCGGCTTCATCGGACGCCTGGGACCAAACTTTCTCGCCGACAAGATCGGAACAATCACCGTCTTCGCCCCCATGGCGCTGATCTCGGGACTCTTGACCTACTGCTGGATCGCCGTCAAATCACCGACGGGACTCTACGTCTGGACCGTCTTCTTCGGCATCGCGGGAAACGCCATCCAGGCTCTCTTCCCCGCTGGTGTCAGCGCTTTGACGACGGATCCGAGCAAGCAGGGAACACGCATCGGAATGGTCTTTACCATTGTTGCTTTTGCCGTGCTGACCGGGAACCCGATTGCCGGCGCCATCATCTCTGGTACCGGCGGCCGCTACCTCGGCGCTCAGGCTTTTGCTGGTAGCTGCCTGATGCTGGGGGCGTTCTTCTTAAGCTTGGCACGCATCGTCAAGACGAAGAAGATTGGAAAGGGCTGGTTTGTCAAGGTTTGAGCTCTACTATCAGTAAAGTTGGCGGAAAGAAGGAAGCTGTATCAGTATCTGTCCATTACCGTCTACATACATGTACGTATAGAGAGCCTCATAGTGGCCAAAGCATCTCAATTGAGACGGCACTGCTGTTGACCAATACTACAAGTCGATTGACCGAATTCGAGAGAGAGCCTGCACGGTCAATTATAATTCCGTGAGCCATGTGTGAGTTTATACTCCAGCTCAACATTCAATCTCTGACGGGGGGTTGTTTTGCGAGCTGATCTTAGTCAACAACATGTGAATTCAGAACGCTTGGTCGACTTGGCAGGGGTAACAAACGAAGTTGTGCTTTCCGTTCAGAAACCCAACTTGATTGGGCTACGCCTGGGTTCATTCCTTTGATAGGCGTAGGAACTATATATAAGGTAATACGTCGGGTCCCAATATGCGCCGTGTTGCCGACAGCCGCCTCCCCGGCAAGAGAAGGTTTAATGACCCGATAGCAGTCTGGATAAAAACCACGCCATTGTTAATTCGATATTGACTTTCAAGAAGATGACTAATGGTCACCGAGAAACAACTAGTCGCTTGGGTCAATATAATCTGCATACAAAGACTAGGTTGCTGTGAGTACATGTATTCAAACATGTGGATTGCTTCATTTGCATCATCAACTCAACTGCCGATATCAGGTCCGCCCAAGCTTGATGACTTTCTGCAATCTGACTCGCCGAGGCCCCACTCCGCCATGATGGCCGGACCCAGATAGCGACAGCTTCCATGAACAACGCAATTCTTGAGCTAGACGAATTCTGTACTAGATGCTGTGGTGATCCAGATCCATATCCCCGCGGCCGATTATTTCTCTCTGTGGGCGCCGAGGACAGGCACCTCCTCTGTGGAGAACATCGTCTTAGTCCAGGTTTCGTCATTGCTGACTGTACGCCACAAAGGAAGGGATGTTGTCAACTCTCGCAACAAATGCGTGGGCCAGAATGTGACCATGCAAAAATTTAACTTTAATATTGACAGCCGATATAGATTAGGAGGTCCATCTCTGTGCTACCCCGAACGGTTCGTCGACATCTTGGCTCTGGAGCTGCACCGCTGGGCAACGGCCCTGAGCCTGCAAGGCGGGTATCATGCAACGTGGTTCCGACCAACTTTCAGGAACAAAGTTACTGTTCGAGGAAACGGAACCCAGCGAATAGTTCACCCGATCCCATTACATCCCATCTACCTGGAATTGCGAAGCTTGGTAAGGGTTGTATTCTGTGGATCTCGTTGCCGACCTCAACCAGTATTACACTCACGATAACCTCCCCCAGGCTGGAGAAAAGGTCCGAACCGAGAAAAACAGTCCTTGAGGACCAGGCCATGATGGGTAATCTGAAGAAAGGCCTCCACGGCAGCCTGCCGTCTTTAAATATTCTCCTCGCCCTGCTTGCCTTACTGTCCAGTAAACATATAATCTTTGATGTTGGCTTCGAGTTCCAGGTGGTTCTTCCTTCGAAAAGCCTAGGACCCAATATCGAACGCCATTCATCCGGTCCAAGTAGCTACAGACGTGATGGCCGTCCTCAAGCACTGCGTTTGGCTCCTCTTAGTCGGTACCGCTGCATTTACTTCCGCCAAGACCGCCCACAACTTTACGCAGGCGGCGATCGACAATGGAGACGCCCTTGCCCAACTCTCAGCACAGGCTCTCGAAGCCTCAAAGGCACTGAACCAGCGGATGGGTACCAACTCGACCTGCACACCAGAAAAGCTGCGCGTACGGAAAGAATGGTGAGTTGAATCTGAAGCCGGCATCGTTCACATCACGATATACTGACACGAGAGCTCTAGGAGAACACTTCCCGCCGAAGAACGCAAGGCATATGTCGCGGCCATCAAGTGCCTTCAGTCCTCTCCCAGTCTGCTGAACCCAGTAGAGCTCCCTGCTGCAAAGTCACTCTTCGACGACTTTGTCTTGATCCATCTCAACCAGACGGCAATGATTCACCTTACGGTAGGTCACGACGATGACTGGTTGGAAGTTTATCGGGCTGACTAGTGGGACTACTAGGCGAATTTCCTCCTCTGGCATAGATATTTCACATGGACGTACGAGGAAGCCCTTCGCAACGTGTGCGGCTACAATGGTTCGCACCCATCCCTCGATTTATCGACGAGAACATGAACGATTAGGGTTCTAATCCACCGCGTATTAGCAACATTCCCGTACTGGGAATGGGGTTTCGACGTCGAAGACCCTGCCAAATCCCCAGTCTTTGACGGCTCAGAAACGTCCATGGGAAGCGACGGCGCATCAATCCCCCACGAAGGAATGCATATCCTCCAGACCTTTTCCAACACCACCGTCATTCTCGAGCCCGGCTCGGGAGGCGGGTGCGTCAAGACGGGACCGTTCTCCGACATGGTGGTCCACGTGGGCCCCCGGCTGCTGTGGCAGTACGGCACCGCGACGCCGTTGAGTGTCGACAAGCCGACGGACGACCACCCGCGTTGCCTGAAGCGTGACCTGAACAAACATATTGCTTCCAGGTACACCTCGCTGCGGAACTCCACCGAGCTGATCCTCGGCTACGACAACATTGAGTGGTTCCAGGCGGTCATGCAGGGGGACGACAGATACACGCCTGGCGTGGAGCTGGGCGTGCACGGAGGTGGCCACTACGTAATAGGAGGCGAGCATTCAGATTGATGTTGCCCATGGCTTCAAAAGGTGACTGACTTTTTTTCGTTCCAGGCGACCCCGGCGCGGATCCCTTCATTTCTCCCGGAGAGACGGCCTTCTTCTTGCATCACGGGCAGATCGACCGTCTCTACTGGATTTGGAAGATGCTCGACTTTGACAACAGACAGGTACGATTTGATTTCCATCATGGAGAAAGTTCCTAAAAGTCCCAAGTTCATGCGTGCTGGGAAATACTGACTACGTTTTGTTTGCGTACAGAACATTTTCGGCACCAGGACTCTGCAGAACAACCCACCGAGCGCAAACGCCACCTTGGACGACATCATTGACATTGCTCCCATTGGTGGATCGGCCAAGCTTAGGGATTTGTTGAATACCGTGGGAGGATCTCCGTTTTGCTACGTTTACGAGTAGATTTGTCTGCCTCACTGAATTCACTAGACCACCTTTGTTTACCATCTTCTTCTGTACATAATTCAGCTGCAAATAGCACCCTGTACCACTATCTGCATATATTGATCGTACAGTATACCGTCTTGTTATACCACGTGCCATTAATAGTGCCATAGTTATGGGATGGTTGGTTTGCAGTAGACAGCCGGTTGGTGCCGAAGGATACCTCCGACGGGTAAACGATTGCAACCTTGACCGCGGCAGTTGTAACCCAGGTGGGTAGAGGTTGCAGAGTCATGCATCTTACGAATATACGAGCCACTCGGCATGGCCCGACATTTCAAGCGTCTTGTCTAATTGAATCGCTGAAACCCCCCGCCAAAGGAGCGTTCATCTTAAAGGCGGCCGGGGATTATTGTGACGAAACTCTAATTTGCGGATGACGCCCTTGCTGGGGAAGAAATCCGCGGGAGTTTGAAGGGACATACTATGGATAATGAAAACTCCTCTCTCTCTCTCTCTCTCTCTCTCTCTCTCTCTCTCTCTCTCTCTCTCTCTCTCTCTCTCTCTCTCTCTCTCTGTCTCTCTCTCTCTCTCTCTCTCTCTCTCTCTCTCTCTCTCTCTCTCTCTCTCTCTCTGTCTCTCTGTCTCTCTGTCTCTCTGTCTCTCTGTCTCTCTGTCTCTCTGTCTCTCTGTCTCTCTGTCTCTCTGTCTCTCTCGGCTGCGGAGATCCTTGCACGTGAATCATATAACTGATCCATTGGTTTGAATCTGTTCATTGAATAGAGTTTGTCGTTCTGGAACATGACACCCGCGACAGATTGCATCAAAAACCGGCCTGAAACTGCGGGCAGTCCGGATAAGCTTTATAGGTCACTTGGCCAGGCCCCAGAAAATGGTCTCTTGAGTCAATAAAATATCCCGGTTTGGTTCCGGGCCGTCACGTTAGTCTAGCCCCTATAACAGATGACAAGACGCCGCAATCCCATCCTTTCTTGGGACGATGTCAAACTTTTCTCCTGCTGTGGTTCAGTTGTGATGATTGTGTTGGTCTTCTCTCATTATTCATCAATCTAAGTCTGTCACTTCCGTAACGATGCCTTCCCTATCCCACGCTCTCGTTTCTCTTCTTTCGGCCGCAATCATCGGCCAGGTCCAGGCGGTTGACCCGCTTGTCGACCTTGGCTATACTAAACTTCAAGGAGTCGCCGAGCAGGGTGGTACGACTCGCTGGCTGGGTGTCCGGTATGCTGCGTCGCCGGTTGGCCAACTCCGGTTCGCTGCACCGGTCGATCCCCCAAATACGACTGATGTCGTCGATGCTTCGAATGTACTGTGTCTCGAAAGGTAGAAATCAACTTCACTTTTTGCTGACAAGCCCACCAGTTCCGTCCGATATGTCTTGCCCGAAGCGCTTCGGACTTCACGATGAAGCCGAACAAACGCTTCACGACAGATGAGGACTGTCTCTATGTCAACATCTTTGCGCCTTCACAGGCGACATCAGAGTCCAAGTTGCCAGTCATGTACTTCATCCAGGGCGGAGGTTTCCAGTCTCTCTCCAACGCCAACTTCAACGGAAGCGACTTGGCCAGGTTCGGAAACATGCTAGTTGTCCAGGTAAACTACAGAGTCGGTAGGTGGCTGAACCTGGTCCACATGGTACCACTTTCATGATCTTACAGCGCGATGGCTGAATCGGTTACAGGGCCCTATGGTTTCTTGCAGAGCAAGGAGGTGGAGGCTGGCGCGAGTATGAACAATGGTCTAAAGGACCAGATCCAGGGGCTGAAATGGCTGAAGCAACATGCCGCTGCTGTGAGCCTCCTACGAAACTCTCTTCCCAATGCCGCAGTGTTGGCTGACTCCCGTTCCCAAGTTCGGAGGAAACCCCGATCAGATGGTTGCCGTCGGTGACTCTTCCGGTGCCACTTCCGTAGCCCTGCTCCTCGCTGGGTTCGGAGACAACGACCCAGGCCTGATCAAAGGGGCCATCATGGAGTCCGTCTCGGTCGCCACCGTCCGCACCCTCGAGCAGGGTCAGGAGCAGTACAACTGCCTGACCAACGCCACCGGCTGCAACAAGCAGGCCGACTCCCTCGCCTGTCTCCGCGGCCTCAACGCGACAGCCCTTCAGACGGAGAACTGCCAGTTCAACCCCAACCTCGACGGCGACCTGGTCAAGGCCCCGACGCTGCAACGCTTCGCCGAGGGCAAGTATCTCAAGGTCCCCACCATCGCCGGTACATGCACCAACGAAGGGACCAAGAACGTGCCCCAAAAGACGGACACCGTCGAGGAGGCCTTTACCAACATGAACAACCAGGCCACCCAGTCTCTGAGCAACGCCTCCCTCGCCCTGCTGAAACAAACATACCTAGACGTACCGCAGCCCGTCTTCCCCAACTCGGGCAGGCTCTGGCGCCAGCTCGCAAACGCCCACGGGGACTACCGCGCCCACTGCATCACAAAAGTCTTCCAGGACGCCATGGCCCGCGACGGCGTAAAGACGTTCAACTACCGCTACGGGCCCCTCGACGACGAGCAGGAAGCCCTAGGGTTCGGCGCCTACCACACCGTCGAGCTCAACGGCGTCTTCGGGCCCAACAACACGGACGGCGCCCCGCCAAAGAGCTATTCCACCACCAACGCGCCCATCGTGCCGCTGACGCAGGCCTACTGGGCGAGCTTCGTCCGCAGCCTCGACCCCAACGCCGCCAAGATCCAGCCCGACATGCCCGAGTGGGCGGCGTGGACCGTCAACGGCAAGCAGAGGCTGCTGTTCCAGAATAACACGGGCACGATGGAGGGTATGCCCGCGGCCCAGCAGGATAACTGCGCGATGCTGGCGCCCATGCTACCCTTTATCGAGACGCCTGCCTCGGATGCGCAAAAGGCCTCTGTGAATCTGAAGAAGGTGTCCGTGTCCACGGTACCGTCTGGCTAGCCTGCCAAGGCCCCGTCTGCTGGTAGCGGCGGCGGCGGCGGCGGCATGAGCATGGGCGGGTCGATGCCTGGCGTGCAGATGGGGATGGAGATGGCGCATGGCAAGAAAGGCAATAGCACCAAACACGGCGGAGGAGAAGAGGGCAGTGGTAAAGGCGAAGGTAAAGGCGGCGGTAAGGGGATCGGCCACAAGAATGAAACTAGCTCTGCCCCGAAGCATGGAGCAGGAGGAGGAGGAGAAGGAGGAGGTGGCAAGGGCACGGGAAACCGAAATGGGACCAACTCTAATCCTCCCACTGCACCGCCTCGGGCCGGCTCTGCTTCCAACACGGGATATGGACTCACTGGGGTGCTGCCAGCCATCGTGGTGGTATGTGTCGGGCAGTTTCTTTTAGCTTGACCCTATAGTATACAATATTCAATGCCGGGAGCCTCAGTTTTGACTGGCTCTTGAAAACTCCTGCTCGCCAATTGCATATCTCCAGGCCTATCCAGGTTATAGCCGTGACTTTGGCGGCCCGGGCTGGCCTATCAGAGCATTGTCAAATAATTGTCCTTGGTGCGTCGGCTGAGCCACCAGCCAGCCCTCGATCGCAGAGACCAGACCCTCGACCTCCTCCACAGAGTTACCGGCGTGGAGGCAGATCCTCACCCGCTCACTGCCCACCGGGACAGTGGGCGCAACAATGGGCCTCAGCATGAACCCCCGCTTCTGGCAGTGCTGTGCGAGACCCCGAGGATCTGAAGTAAAGAGTGGTATGATGGGCGATCTCGGCTTCCCTGGAGCGAGGTGCATGAGTTTTCTATCTGGGCGATGACGGTCCAGTAGCTCTAGCAACAGCTGGTTTGTCTGGTTGACCAGGGACCAGAGATGGCGGAGGAGAGGCTCAGCGTGGCCGTTGGTAATAAAGTCGTACGCCGTCTTGATGCTTGCCAGAGACGTGAATGGCATGGCGGTGGTGTAGATGAGACTGCGGGCGTAGTTGATGAGGTACGACCGAGTGATGTGGGAGCACAAGATGATTGCTGTTTCCAAAAAGAGTAAGCTTCAAGCAGAGAAGAACCCGGAGCGTGTGAAATTCAAATAGTACCTCCTGAGCAACTCATTGCCTTGCCAAAGGTGTGCACTCGAGCCCAGACCCGATCCTCGAGACCGAGCTCGCAGACGAGTCCCCGCCCTCGTGGCCCGAGAAGCCCTGTCGAGTGCGCCTCGTCGACGATGACCAGGCCGTTGCCGCGGGGGAGCAGCCGTTCCACGCACTCGACGACTTTCTTGAGCGGTGCCACGTCCCCGTCCATGCTATAGACCCCCTCGACGGCGACGAAGACGCGTTTCCGGCCTTCACGCACCGGCCGGCCTTCCTCGCCATCGATTAATCTCGAGAGGACCTCGGTCAAGCTCTGGGGCCATTGCTGGGTTTCAGTGGGCTCCACCGTGTTGTGTGCAAAGGCAATCTTCTTTTCCGCCCGACTCAATTTCATGCCATCGTGCACGCTTGCGTGGATGAGCTCATCGTACACAATGATATCGCCGGGTTGGGGCGCGCAGCTAAAGAGCCCGACGTTGGCGTCAAAGCCCGAATTGAAGAGCAGCCCGGCCGGGCCGCGGTGGAACGCGGCAATGTCTCGCTCGAGAGACTCTGCGAGGGACACATTGCCGTCTAACAAGCGCGAACCACCGGAGCCGAGGAGAGGTGCACTGTGGCTGCTGCCGTTGAGCTTGGTACGGGTCCTATCATCTCCGTCGTCGACCTTCCGGGACGGGGACGGGGACGGCTCGAGGTGGGCCTTGATTCGGGCAAGATACCGAGCCTGGACGTCGGGGTGGGTCGACAGAGAGAGGTACGCATTGGACGAAAAGTCGGCGCTGCCGGCCGGAACGAGAGTCAAGCGCCGGAGCTGACTCTTGGCTTCCCGGCGGGCCAAGAGTGCCGCAAAGACCTTGTCCAGACGGTCGCTCGCCGGCATCGTTTTGAGATGAAGGATCTGTAGCTATCGGATGCTTTCCGAGAAACCTGCGAGGTGGGTGTGTTTGGTGAAGGGGCACTGGGGGGGACATGGAAGTTGGAACCACTTCAAACCTCGGCATTGGGTTTGTGGAGTCGTATGCGGTCCGGCGCAGATGCAGACGATTCAACGAGGGAATTTCCACCCCCCCGGCCTGGCCTGGCCCTGACGATCTCTCGCAAGGTAGCAGACCGCATAGCTGAAAGAGCGACGCGATATGCAAGATCCATGCAAGGACGAATCCGCCCGCCCCTGGCCGCACGCACCGTTGAGAAGCTCAAATAATCGCCGTAAAAGAATGACACGCACAGCTCAACAACTTTGCCCTTTGGTAGCCGCTGCCCCAGTTCTCGGCACAACAAATGCCGCAACGCTAGACAAGAAACCTTACCCCGCCTGTTCTGTGTCCTCTTTGGTCTTCCCCAGCAGCTCACTCTGCCTGGGTTAGTCATGGGGCAGTCAGTGACTTATGTCGTTTGGCACAGCAAACTACATGCTCTGACGCCGGCTAAGTGAGCAAACGGAACAGACGGTAGCTCTCTTCAACGAATTGCTCTCCAGCCTTGATCTTCTCATCTCGTCTCATATGGGAGCTTGAACGAGCCCCCCCAAAAAAAGACCTCAATGGCACCCGTCGGCGCTCTGCTCTGGCGTTCGCTCAGGACGTACCAGATATATGGCGCCAACACCGATGTCGGCAAGACCATCTTCGCCTCGGCCCTGTGCAACGCGGCCCGCAACTTCTGGCCGCAGGAGAAGACGGCTTTCCTGAAACCCGTTTCTACGGGCCCGGCCGCCGAAGCCGACGATAGGTGTACGGTTGCACTCAACTCCACCGAACCACTCACTCCATTCCGATTCGTGATCCTCTTCTCCTTCATTACGAGTTTCCAGCTGACTCGGGGTATCAACAGAAGTGCGAACCCCTCGGGTTAAATTCCGTACCTTGACTCGCTAATTCCGCATTTACCCCCCCTCCCCAGTCATATCCAAAGGTATGCGCCCGGCATCGCGAAGAAGACGTTGTTTCAGTTTGAGATTCCGACAAGTCCCCATTTGGCTGCTGCAGTGTCAGACCAGGTAAGTCGTCAATGGATTGATCAATTGCACCAAGTGGACCAACCGTCTCCCTCTCCTCCTGCTAATCACATTCCCTGAAGCCGACCCCGTCAGATAATGAAGTATTGAAGGGCATCTACAACTACTCATCCCGACGAGCGGCCAAAGGGCCGGGCTGGCTCTTCATCGAAACGGCCGGTGGGGTCCATTCTCCGGCCCCGTCCGGGACCCCGCAGGCCGACCTCTACGCCCCGCTCCGATCCCCGGTCATTTTCATCGGCGACGCCAAGCTCGGCGGCATCTCCCAAACCATCTCCGCGTTTGAATCCCTCAAGCTCCGCGGGTACAACGTCGAGACGATTTTGCTTTTCCGAGACGGGTATTACCAAAACGACACCTACTTGACCGACTACTTCGGACGCGGCCACGGCATCCCCGTCACCGCGCTGGACCAGCCGCCCGCTCGCGCGCAAGATGACCAGGCGGACGCAAAGGCCATGTCTCGTTACTACGCGGAGATGTCCTCGAGCGCAGCCATCAAGGACACGTTGGACCACTTGCACGCCCGCCACCTCGCCCGCATCTCTCGTCTGGAAAGCATGTCCCGCGACGCGCACGAGGTCATCTGGTACCCCTTCACACAGCACAAAGGGCTAACGCCCGACAAGATCACGGCAATCGACTCGGCACACGGAGACAACTTCCAGACTCTCATCCCCCAGAGCCAAAACAAACAGACGGACGACCGCGCCGCGGCCCTCCTGCAGCCGTCTTTTGACGGTTCCTCGTCTTGGTGGACGCAAGGGCTCGGCCACGCCAACCCAAAACTCACCCTCGCAGCCGCCTACGCCGCCGGCCGCTACGGCCACGTAATTTTCGCCTCCGCCGTCCACGAGCCCGCCCTGGCGCTCGCGCAAACGCTGCTCAAGGGCCTGCGGAACCCGCGCCTGTCGCGCGTCTTCTACTCCGACAACGGCAGCACGGGCATGGAGGTCGCCGTCAAGATGGGCCTGCGAGCCGCCAGGGTGCGGTACGGCTGGGCGGCCGGCGACAGGCTCGAGATCCTCGGCCTCCGGGGCAGCTACCACGGCGACACCATGGGCGCGATGGACTCTACGGAGCCGTCCGTGTTCAACGAAAAGGTGGAGTGGTATGACGGCAAGGGCTTCTGGTTTGATTATCCTTCCGTCATGTGCAAGGGTGGCAAGTGGCAGGTGCGGGTTCCGGACGCTTTGCGGGAGGAATTGGGTGCCGGTCAGGAGTTTGATAGCTTGTCTGAGGTGTTTGACGTCGCCGGCAGAGGGAAGGCGGAACAGGCTCAGGTGTACGAGACGTACATCGCCAGGGTGCTAAGTCGCCTCCGCGACCAAGGCCGCAAGTTTGGTGCGTTGGTCATGGAGCCTGTAATCCTCGGAGCGGGAGGCATGATCATGGCGTAAGTAGAGAACCTCCGATGCCGCGTTGCTGGAGATAATGCTAATCCCCGACCGCAGCGATCCCCTATTCCAGAGCACCCTCGTCAAGGTTGTCCGGCAGCACCCCGAGCTTTTCGGAATGACAACTAAGCCTCTAGCTACTTCAGACGACAACAGCACCTGGACCGGTCTCCCGGTAGTCTTTGACGAAGTCTTCACAGGTCTCACCCGTCTAGGCCGCTTCTCCGCCGCGTCATTCCTCGGCGTCAACCCCGACGTCGTCGTCAACGCCAAGCTCCTCACGGGCGGCTTGGTACCCCTCTGCACCACATCAGCTTCTGACAGCATCTTCCGGGCCTTTGAGAGCGACGAGAAGAGCGACGCACTGCTACACGGTCACAGCTACACCGCGCACGCCGTCGGGTGCCAAGTGGCCCTCGAATCGCTGCAAGAGCTCCAGAGAATCGACCGGGACGGGGAGTGGGACTGGGCCAAGACGAACGGGTGGGCTTCGGCTTCGGCTGCAACAGTCACGGCGACCCACGCAGAGCCTGACGGCTCTCCTTCGGCATGGTCTGTCTGGTCTCAGTCCTTTGTCGACTGGGTTTCGAAGCAGACCGATCGGGTCGACGGTGTGTGGGCCTTGGGATCTGTTCTTGCCATTCATTTGCAAGACAGCGAGGGTGCTGGCTATTCGAGCAACGCGGCTGCGAACCTCCAAAGCGCTCTGCTCGACGGGGAGCATGGGAGCGAGGGTGGGCGGTGGAACGTTCACAGCAGAGTTCTTGGAAATGTCCTCTACGTGATGACGAGCCAGACAACGAAGCAAGAGGATATCGAGAAGTTGGAACGGTTGTTGCGGAAATCTCTTGACTGAATCAAGGCAAATGCTGCGGGGGAGGGAAACGTGGGATTACAACGGCAATAGTTTTAGTAATGGCCTCACTACTGGCCACAAATCAGCCACTGACTGGGTATTACACGCGCAGATACCTCGCGACTACTTCCATCATGTGAGAGGGATTTCGTCAATAATTGAGAACCGAAGAGTACGTGCTTCTTTCTCTCGGTGACGATAACATCCTCTTTCTTCATCTATACCGCTTACCCACCGGCTTTTCTACCGCGAAGCTCTTCTTCAGTCGATTATCGGTGCAAATCTCTTGCGAAAAACACGACGTACGAGACTCACGGCGAATATGGCTGAGCGATACGCCAGCCTGGAAGTTCTCGACGACTTCAATCTCTGTATCAAACAACTCAAGCTCAGGACCAGTTTCAACATCAACGACCTCGATCGATGTATGGAGGAAATAGGCAGCGCCATCTGAGGCGATGCTAAACCCCGATATATCTGGGATTGGGGTAAGTAAACTTCACCTCGCGTTAATTAACACCACCTGCTTTTCGAGCGGTCGTAATTCATGACGCAACGGGTCTCTGTTGGCTATGGAGTCGAGTTGGCTCTGGAATTCGTCCTGGTCTCTCTCCTGATGATGATACGGCAGGGACACGGCCCAAGAGCAGAATTTTGCCCAGTCGTGATCAAGGCCGGCTTTGACGCCTTCTTCGAGTTTGAAAATCTACTTTGCCATCGCCATCGAACTCGTAGCGATAGTCGTGCTCGTCAATAAGAACTGTGGCATCTCCACGGGCGGCCTCGGTGCCAACGACGCGCAAATCGCCCTCGCCGTCTCCGTCGTCTGCGTCTTGATCTTCTACTCGTTTCTGTTATAGTGCATATACAACTAGGCACCGCTCCGGGTGGGTGAGAGTAAAGGCAGAGGGGGAAAGCCGTACGTCGCAGAGGAAGAGTGGGAGAGAATCCGGGCCATGGGCTTTGGCGAGGTCAACAAGTTCACCACCAGGGAGCACTGGGTCCTTGCCATCTGTGAAATCATCGCTTTAATGTTGCTCCTCTTCTCGTTCATGTTGTGGCAGGCGACAGGCGCCGGCGTGCGCAGGCTGCTAGAAACAAGATCGGTATATCGGGACATGGAAAGAAGCGCGGCCGGAACGTGGTCTTGTCGCGAACGCGAAAGATTCGTCCAACGGGCGTAGATGAGTCAGAGCATGAACCAGGCTTTGCTCCTGTTCGTCCCGCTCTTGTTGGGTTCTGGACTCCTCTGGTGCATTTTCCGTCTGAGAACCAGTCGGGCGGCAGCGGCGGGCAGCATGGAAAGCGGGTATGCTGGGGACGGGTGGGGGGTTGGTCCCGTTGTCGGGATCATCATCTTTGCTCCTGTCACTACGGAGAGATGCTATTTGCGGTGTGGGAGGTGCGGTCTCTTGTTTTGAAGAGTGATTCCAACCGTGTGAGTAGCCGTGGTTAGCTGTCTTTGATGTTATCTGATGTCTTGGTCTCTCAGCTTGATGCCTCGAAAAACGGCCTGAACATGGACAACGACCCGAGGCCGTTCGTGAACATGTGGGCACCAGTCGAGCCAAAGCTCAAGAAAGGAGCATGAATCGTTTGCAGATAGGCTGGGCGGGGAGGTAGGACGCTTTTCGAGGAGAAATGTTCGCAAGGGACTTGCCAGGGTCTCTGTAGTTCCGGTGTATCGGGTGCATGTAGAAAAGGGTGGATGAAGCCACCAACCGGGCCTTCTCCCAAGTCGTCAACGCAAGGACTATGCGGTCATCCACTTTAAGGTGCTGTTTCACCCGGAGTTAATGTTGAGCTTGGTTGCAATTCCCGGATTGGTGTTGCCGTTGAGGTCATCGGCTGGTGACGTAGGCGCCACTCCGTCTCTCCCCGGCCCCAACTCTGATGATCCTCCTCCTCCTCGTCCTCATCCTCGTCCGCCTCTTCAATGCGTTCTAAGAAGCGCCCGGCTTGGCCGTCTTACCATCCTCGTCTTAGCGTGGCGGCCCCAGGTAAAGGCAGGAGATCTGTCCCGTGCGCCGCCAAATGCCGACCGCTTCCCGCCCGCACTACAGCCGCGGCGCCTCACCGTTCCGTTCCTTTGCTCAGTCACACTCACATAGACCCCTGTTCGCCATCAGCAAGACCAGTTGCGAAAGTCGGCGGGACAGGACTTCGGCAGGACAGACATGAGTCGTTTGGATTTCTTCGAGAACAAGGTACTCGGAGATTACTGATCCTAGCCGGCCAGCCGCCTTTCCGCCCCTCCCTATTCTCCCAGATACAGATTGCAGACTGCGGCGCCACTCCGTCAGGGTCCTAGCCTGTGAGGTTCTGCATTGTGGAGATGTCTAGGTTAAGGGCCCGTGGCATCTTGAGCAGCTCGACAGATGCAAAGAGATCGGGCCCTGGCCACACCACACCACACTCACATTCATTGATTTTGGTGATCACATTCCGACTGATTATCTCTCCGAGCTCTCCGAGTCCGAGAAGGGAAAAAGGCGGGTATCACGGCCCGTCCTACTATCAAAGCTTGACCTCGATCCACTCCTCCCCACTTGTGAAGCGTTTGCATCGTGGGTGAGGCGTGAAGATACCTACTCCTATGAGCGTGAGGCATACCCAGGTTGCTAGGGATGGGGATTTGCCAGCAGCCAGAATGAGACCAGCTAGACGGATTCCCAATGTTCGCCAGTTTGCTGCCCAGTTCCGCAAGGGCGAGCCCGCGCCTGTCAGTCAGTCACGACTCAGGGTTACCCTCTTGTCCGTCACACACACACACACATCCGTACAGAAGCTAGGAGGTCCCATCAAAGGGTCCTCAACGGCCGTGACTGCCACCCGTTGTACATTGTACGGTTTCGCAATCGCCCAAGTCCAGCGAGATCTCCATGGATGGGGTTCTCACTCACCCCCGTTCGCGTACCCCGACCCACCTCTCCCCCCTTGCGCGGCTGTGCCCCTCTTGACGGCCGAATTCCGTGCTCCGTATTTTTGCTCCACCCTCCCCCGTAGGGGGCCCGCTACAAACCCGAACCTGTTTCTGGCAGGTTGCGAGGAGGAGAGGTGGGCAAGGTGGGTAACGGCCGCACAGCTTACACTAATTCGCGGCTCGCTCCTTAGAGGACGACCGGTCTTATGCGTGGCTACTGCGTCCGAGAGACCGGTCTGGTCCAGCCCTGAGCAACAAAAGAAATCGAAACAAGCCTTTCTTCCCTCCTCCTCCTCCTGCTCCTCCTCCTCCTGTTTCGCCCCACTCACGGCGCCGGCGCACCTTTGAGCGCCGACCAGCCGATAACGGTCCCGGTCCTCGTCGCAGCACGGTGGAACTGCTGCCATGTGGCCATGACGTCTTCATCTCAACCTGTGCCGAGCTATGTCCTTTTGGCTGGATGGATGGACGGACTATGGTATCATGGAAAATTTCCGCCGCATAGCTGGGGCCGAAATTGTTTTGGGCCCAGAACTATGTTTGCCAGAGGACACCATATTGGCTAGAGTAGAGAAGAGAGAGCTCCTTTCGAGTATATAAACACTCTGGCTGGGCCCTACAAGGCTTGCTTGGCATCGGAAGCACACATATCTCACTCTCACGCGTCTCTTGTCCATCATCTACAACTGCGACAAAGCTTATACTACATTCTCACACTCTGAAGCACCACACGAACCATACGATACCCATCAGCGCTTTGGTGACCAGCATTTCACACTTCAGCATGGCACAGCCCCAGTACGGAAAACGCTTGATTCCCCATGTTCTCGACGAGGTCGCAAAGTCAGAACCCAACAGAGAATTTATCTCCGTCCCCCGATCCTCCAACCCCCAAGATGGCTGGAGGCCCATCTCCTACAAGCAAATCGCAAACGCCGTGAACCGGATAGCCCACAGAATCACCGACAAGAGCGGAAAACCCGAACCCGGGAGTTTCCCGACGGTCGCATACATCGGCCCCAACGATGCCCGCTACACGATCATCACGATCGCCTGTATCAAGGCCGGATACAAGGCGCTCCTCATCTCCCCCAGAAACTCCTTTGAAGGCCAGATTAACCTCTTTGAGAAGACGGACTGCCATACCATCTGCTTCGACACGTCCTTCAAGGACGTCATCCAGCCCCTACTGGAAGAACACCAGATGGAAGCCATCATGGTCAGCTCGGCAGACGCCTGGCTCTCGGATGAGGAGGTCCCCCATTTCCCTTACGACAAGACCTACGAGGAGGCCCAGAACGACCCCGTCGTCGTCCTACACACAAGTGGCAGTACGGGCCTGCCCAAGCCCATCGTCGCCCGCGTCGCCATGGTCGCTGTCGGCGACGCCTTCCACGACTTGCCCGACTTCATGGGCTCCGAGAACTGCATAAAGTCCATCATGCAGGGCAGCCGCCTCTTCCTGCCGATGCCCCTCTTCCACGCCGCCGGCTGCTACATGTCCATCTTTGCCACAATCTACTGGGGGCGGGCCGTCGCGCTGGGCTTCACGGACCGGCCCCTGACGCCGCAGACCCTCATCGACGCCGCCAAGTACGCAAATATCGACAACGTCATCCTCCCCCCCGCCATCCTCGAGGAGTTGAGCCATATACCCGAGGGCGTGGAGGCGCTCAAAAAGTTCAAGCGCGTCAACTTTGGCGGCGGCAACCTCGCCCGCGACGCCGGCGACAAGCTCGCCAAGGAGGGCGTCCCCGTCTCGAGCGTCATCGCCTTTACCGAGGCCGCGCCCCTGCCGTACTACTTCCAAAAGAACCTCGAACTGTGGCAGTGGTTCATTGTCGACTCGGACCGGCTCGGCGTCGACTGGCGCCAGGCCAGCGGCGAGGACTCGGACGTTTACGAGCAGGTCATTGTCCGCAAGGACAAGGCGGACCCCCTCCAGGGCATCTTCTACACCTTCCCCGACGTCAACGAGTACAACACAAAGGACCTGTACCGCAAGCACCCGACCCTTCCCAACCACTGGATGTACTACGGCCGCTCCGACAACATCATCGTCTTCTCCAATGGCGAGAAGCTCAACCCCGTCACCATTGAGGAGATTGTCACCGGTCACCCCAGGGTCAAGGGCGCCGTCGTCGCGGGAGCCATGCGCTTCCAGCCCCTGCTCATCCTCGAGCCCTCGGAACCACTCACCTCCGAGGACGACATTGAAAAGTTCATTGACGACGTCTGGCCCATGGTCGTCAAGGCGAACAAGGAGACCGTCGCCCACGGCCAGATCGGCCGCGCCTTCATCGGCATCACAAACCCGGAGAAGCCCTTCCCCCGCGCCGGCAAGGGCACCATCCAGCGCCCCATGGCCCTCAAGCTGTACAAGGACGAGCTCGACGCGTGGTACAACAAGGCCGAGGACGGCGCCGACTCGCTCTCCGTCCACATTGACGTCTCCTCCCAGCAAGGCCTGATCGACTCCATCGAGAAGCTCTTCCAGCAGACCCTCGGCAGCAGGGCCCTCTCCGCCGACTCGGACTTTTTCAGCGCGGGCATCGACTCCATGCAGGTCATCAACGCCTCCCGCCTCCTCCGCAAGGGCCTCGAGGCCGCCGACGCAAACATCACCGCCGACGCCATCGCTACCCGCGTCATCTACGCTCATCCCACCCCGCGCCAGCTGGCCGCCTACCTGATGGACCGCATCAGCAACAAGAAGACGACCAACACCATGGAGAGCAACGGCGACCGCGGCGTCAACCACGACATCCAGGCCATGGAGGCCCAGCTGCAAAAGTACACCCGCGACCTCCCCAAGAGCCCCGGCAACAAGCCCGCCCCCAACGACCAGGGCCAGACCATCCTCATCACCGGCACCACCGGCGCCCTGGGCTCCTACCTCCTCGACTTCATGGAGCACAACCCGGCCGTCGCAAAGGTCGTCTGCCTCAACCGCAGCGAGGACAGCGGCAAGCGCCAGGTCAAAATGTCCGCCGAGCGAGGCCTCGCCACCACGTGGAAAAAGGCCGAATTCCACAGCGTCGACATGGCCAAGAGCAACCTGGGCCTCGCACCGGACGTCTACGACCGGCTCCTCGGCGAGGCCGACCGCATCATCCACAACGCCTGGCCCGTCAACTTCAACCTCTCGGTCGAGACCTTTGAGCCGCACATCCGCGGCGTCCGCCACTGGGTTGACTTCTCCCTCCGCGCGGCCAAGAACGTGCCCGTCATCTTCGTGAGCTCCATCGGCACCGTCGACGCCTGGCAGGGCCCCGAACCGGTCCCGGAGAAGAGACTCATGGACCTCACCCTGCCGAGCACGGGCTACGGACGCTCCAAGCTGGTCAGCTCCCTCATCCTCGACGAAGCGGCGCTGCGCTCCGGCGTGCCCACCGCCGTCGTCCGCGTCGGCCAGGTCGCGGGCCCGCAGTCCGAGGCCGGCGTCTGGAACCGCCAGGAGTGGCTCCCCACCATCATCGCGAGCTCCAAATACCTCGGCGTGCTGCCCCGCGACCTCGGCGCCATGGCGACAGTCAACTGGACGCCCATCGAGGGCATCGCCAAGCTCATCCTCGAGGTGTCGGGCGTGGCCGCGCCCGTGCCCCTGGACAAGATCAACGGCTACTTCCACGGCGTGAACCCGCGCACCGTACCCTGGGCGCCGCTGGCCGAGGCCGTGCGTGGATTCTACGGCGACGACGTGATTAAGAAACTCGTCTCGTTCAAGGAGTGGGTCGAGATTCTGGAGAAGAGCGCGGCGTCTACGGAGGACATGGACAAGAATCCCGGTATCAAGCTGTTGGATTTCTACCAGGGCCTGGCCATGGGCGAGGGACAGGGTGTGGAGTTTGCCATGGAGCGCACGACCAAGAGCAGCAAGACGATGAAGGAGATGCAGGCTCTGACGCCTGAATTGATGCAAAACTGGTGCAGGCAATGGGCGTTCTAATAAAAAAAGATGAGAACTGATTTGGGAAAGGGGAAGGTTTATACTAAACTTTAATTATGCATAAATGAGATATGATGATTGATTTCAAGTACTACCTGACAGAGGTTATACCCCACTATCGTCTGCCTGTATGACTTACCTTACACATGGTTGGAAAGAACAATAAGGTTTCAGCCGCTCAGAGTTTAAGTTGTCAACCGGGTCTGTATCATTGTACGATAGTAATTGTCTAACAGTTGTCTCCTGACTTTGCCCGTGTACACTACCTTACGCTTGTATCTCGAACGAGCAAGATATGGCAAACAAAAGATAATCATGCAGTCTTATACACGGCACCAGTCCTCGTGTTGTACGCTCCCGATCCTCCGAGTAAGCTACGACGCCCGAATAAATACATCTTCTACCTCTCGGTCGCGGTGGAACTCCTCATCTACTGAGCCCGACTCATTGAAGTGTATCGGAGCTACTCATCTCAAGTCGGCCCCGTTCACTCAACCGGTCATGCATCAAGCATCTCAGGGCAAAACAAAACTTCTCATCTCCTTAAAATACACAAAATTTCTCGCCACCAAAGAGAACCAGCCCAGTCGGTCTCCCGTTGAACCCCTACCTCCTTTCGATCACTCACCCTCCGTCGTAATGCTCATGAAGGGTATTTCCAACGTTCCCCGTGAAAAAAGATGCCTCCGCAGTCCGCAGGATACGTCAAAACGCCGGAGCCCATCTCGCCGCGGAAGCAAAGAGACAAGAGATGGGAAGCCTAATAGCTTCCCCCTTCGCTACATGTAGACCACCTCGCAATCAACAACGAAATAGCCCCCTCCCCTTTCATGAAGTCGGTAATAAGAAGAAGATAATAATGCGGCCCCCAAAAATCCGTGGGAAAACACTTTCCCAATCCCCCCATTCGAGTGTGTGCGGAAACCTCTTCCGCATTGGCCTATAAGCCTCGGAGGAGTGCCCCGTTCCGTCGTCTAGTTTTGCATGTTGCCACGCCCCTTGCTAGGCTAAACGGTCCTGGTGTCTGTTGTCTGTTTTCTGTTTTTGGTCATAACAAAGCATCAAGTCGTGATACACCCTCTCTCTCTCTCTCTCTCTCTCTCTCTCTCTCTCTCTCCCCCCCCCTCCCCTCTCTCTCCCCCCCTCCCTCCCTTCCCCCTCCCCCCCGCACACGAGGACATACACCCTCTCTCTCCCTCTCTCTCTCTCTCTCTCTCTCTCTCTCTCTCTCTCTCTCTCTCTCTCTCTCTCTCTCTCTTCTTCTCCTCCTCCCCCGCTCAAATCGTTTCGTTCGTCGTTTGAGCCAACGCCAAGAACCAAATAGACGTACAGTGATGATTTGTTGTGAAATGGTTGATGGTGAATCAGGTCAGGCCGTCGTCCGGGTAAAACCAAAAAAAAGGTCCAATGCCATCAAATGTCCATCCAAATCAAGACGAAAAAGAAAAGAAAAGAAAAAAGGGTGCAAGCCACACCTTTTTCAACGCCAGAGGAAATCCAAAGCCTTGACCGGCCTCCCCGTAGCACGCGCCACGATCCTCACATTCTCGCACGCGTCCTCAAAGTCGTCGTCCATGTTGTACTCGCGGTAGTACCACCCGCCCGTCCGCGCATCGTAGAAATCCCGCCGGTGCAGCTCGGGCGTGTGCAGACCCAGATACGACATCCACTGCGTGTGCTCCCGCAGGACGGCGGGGCTGCTGACGTCCTCCGGGCCGAGGACGGTGTTGATGGGCTGCGAGATGGACTTTTGTCCGCGGGCGTCCCTGTCGTTGAACATGAGCATCAGACGGGACGCAATCTCCTTGTCGATCGCGCTGAGGGGTTGGCCGTGTTCGATGCGGCCGGCGAGGGAGGTCAGGTACGACTTGTGTCCGTTTTTCCTCGGAGAATGGAGATGAGCCTGACAATGTCATTAGTTTTTTTTTTTTGTTTTTTTTTTTCCCTTTTGGGGTCCAGATGTATGCGTTGTGTAGAAAAACGCTGACGAATATCATAAGCTTTTCGCGTACCTTCATCTCTCGCCGGGTGTCCGTCAGGAACGGGCAGTTGTCCATGATGCACCGATAAATCTCCTTGAGGTAGCCCGGCTCGGCCACCGGCGGCGGACAACAGTGGGTCGTCGGCTGCGAGTCCGGCAAGAAAGACACCGGCCAGCACTTTTGACAAAGACCCCGGACGCACGGCTCGTTTCCGGGTCCTTCATGATCGAGGTAGTAGTGTAACTGGGGATCCCCCCGGGGGGAAAAGTGTCAACTCAAAAACAAGTTCACCCTGTTGGGGAGAGAGGGGAGGTGTAAAAAAAAAAAAAACTTTGTGTCTTCTTCCCCCACACCGGGGACGTCAAAGAAAACGTACCTCTGAGCATCCCGGCCGAGAAAATCCCGGGTCCCTCCGGGCATCGGACGGGTTCGGCTGCGCAGTCTTGTAAGCTTGGGTGCGCCCGGGGCGGGGGGATATTCATGGAACAGGGTGCGGGCGGGCGGGCGGGCGGTTGGTGTGCGGCACGTACTATCCTCAACTCTATCCGGTCCTTTTGGCTGACATCACCCCGAATCACTTTGGCGGGCAGAGGCATGGCGTTCCATCGCAGACAACACATGGCGCACACGTACTTCCGGGGCCACCCGAGATTGCCCTGCGAGTCCGCCACGGCCTCCGATTCCTGGCACCGCCATCCGATGCCGTTGCCGTACTCGTGGCGGCTACGCGACAGGCCGTAGTAGTCTATGCTCCAGCCGGTCTGGATCTGGTCTCCGTTCGCCACCGACCGGGAGTCGTCCACCTCGGTAGGCAGAGTAAACTCCTGTGGCACCGGGCGGCCGACGGCGTTGCCGAGGTAGTATCCGGTGTCCCCGTCTACGCGGACGAGAACATGACGCGGCTGCGAGGGCTCGGCGGCGGATAGGTCAAACGGGTTGATGATCTCGGTAGGCGGAGCCGGTACCGCCGTTGCTGGTGGCGCGGGTGCGGAATACGCGCCGTCATTGGCACTTGTGCTGTGAATATCCCCGCCGTTTGCGGTGTTTGCACCTCTCGTGACCGCCGGGGCCGATGACGGGGCCGGACCAGCAACGGCGTCTGGTGGTTTACCGAAGCGGGGAGGCCCCGTGAGTTGGCGGCCGATGCTGCTGCTGCTGTGCAATGGTATCAAGGAAGAGGCAGCAGTAGCGGCGGCGGCGGCGGCGGCGGCGGCGGCCGGCTCGCGTTCCTGCGGCTGGGCCTGGACGACGGCCGGACGTGTTGGCCATTGTTGGCTATACATGAGAGACCCATGTTGCGGCGAGGGAAACGGATGGAAATCGCCTCCCCCAAGAGAATTCTGATGCCCGACGAATCGATTGGAGACGGTCAGGCTCATGTTACGCGGGGCGCGGGCGTGTTTCCTTGTGTTCGGGGAGGCGCTTGAGCAGTAGGCGCGGCAAAGCCAAACGAAAAGAACCAAAAGGTTTTGGTCGTTTTCGCTTCCTGTGTCCTGTGTCCTGTGTCCTGGGTTCTGGCTCCTGTGTCCTGGGTCCTGTGTCCTGGGTGTTTACGTATCTGACAACTTCTTTTCACAGGATCTTCAGCCGAGATTTTGATTTGATTGATGCTGCTGCTGCTCCTGCTCGCCCACGGGTAATTGCAGACGGGGGATGGGAACACAGAGTACGAAGAGGCGAAGAGGGACGGGGCGGTAGCGAGGTCGGTCATGTACGATGGGCGGGAGAGATTGATCTCAGACAACAGCGCGGCTGGGAGTGGATGGAGTTGTACAGAGTAAGGTGGTGAAGTGAATGTAGTGAAGAAGCGGGAGATGTAGGAGAGATCGGATTGAGTTGACGAGCCCGGCCCCCCCTGCCGCTCACGATATTCGGTTGCTGGTGCTGGACTCCCGAGTCCCGTCCCGTGGGCATTGGATCCTTTGGGTAACGGGTACATCCAATCCAAATTCGATCCAGTGTCCATATCAGCGGTTTTTTTCTCGCTGCTTGCTCACCTGAATCAAAAAGAAAACGAAGGGCAAAGCGACAAACCCCCCTCCCCCTCCCCTCCCCCCCCCAAGGGTGGCTGGCCCTAGTCTCAGAATATCGCGAAAGGAAAAAGCAATGCGTGTTACGGATGGATACCTACACACTCTGCGTGTGTCTTTCTCTGTCTTTCTCTGTCCCTCTCTCTCTCTCTCTGTCTCTCTCTCTCTCTCTCCCCCGTCACTCCATCAGTCCAGTCTCTCTCTCTCTCTCTCTCTCTCTCTCTGTGCCTTGTCGTCACTCCCGCGTGCGTGCTATCGGCCCTGTCGCTACCCAGGACCACCGCACTATACTGCGTACGTTTGCGCCCTGCAACGTGACTGGTGGTGGTCCTGTGGTGCCAGCCCAATTTCTGCAGACGCGTAGCGGACGGATGCGCAGAAAGCAGGCAAGGGTACGTATCCGTACGTACGACACAATGATAGTGCGCAGTAGCCAATCTCGGGTGGTGGCTCGCCGCCGGGGTCAGGGAGGGCCAGGGACCGGGCCAGGCAGGGGGGGATGGATCATGGAGGGGATCCGGGAGGGGTGGCATCGGGCGGTTGGGCCAGGGCCGAGATTGATTCGATATAAGCCAACCTTGTTTTTGCATTGCTATCTCCAGTGTCCGTAAGGATACCCAAAGGATAAGATCCAAGGCTGGGCCCCTTATGTCATAGGCAAGCCCAAGGTAGGGCACGCACGGCACGGCAAGTCAAGGACAGGAGCTGGGTTGTGTCGCGAATGCAGGTCATCAATATCATCAGACGAGGCGGAAAGGGCCTGGGCCAGGGCCACAACTCAGGCGCAAACCTCGTGGCCCTCAAGGTTGGGTTCCATGCTCTCAAAGACATATCTACATACAATGTAGTCAATGTAGTAAGAACACAACTCATACACTCACACACCATCAAGAGTTCAAGACACTCCCCCCCGCCTGCCTCCCCCCCCGGGCCCCCAAGTCAACAGCTTTCCAACCCCTGTTGGCGCGTGTGTCGTGCCGCTGCCACAATCTGCAGTCTCTGCTGATGTGCTGCGAGGTGCAGTGCTGCTGGGCTGGGCTTGGCTTGCCCAGACTCCGCTCCGATGTGCTGTCATATCCGTCACTCTTACACTCGCAGACGCGGTACGAATATTCCGTACCAAAGTAGTTGAGTAGGTATCCGTACACCGTAGCTTACGGATACCGTACCGTACCTTTGACTCCGAAGAAACGCCTCCCCCGGTACGGACGTATGCAGAAAGGAAAAAATAACCAAGGCAGATGAGTTGCAGATTCCCTCTGAGACTATGTCTCGTCCCGGGCACCAGCAGCAAGACCAGCGGCAACTTTAGCAGCTTAAGCAAAGCCCCTGCCCTCCTCGTTGACTCGGCCGGTGTCCAGGTGGGATTGAGTACCTACAATACAGCAAGGGGACCCCTCTTTCCTAGGGGTTTCTTACAACCCCCGTTACTTACACAGTACCCGTAGTATTACGTAGTTTGTGTGTGGTTGTCTAGGTAGACATTGACAAAACAAAGTGTGTTGCCCTATCCGCAACTGGGTCCATCCGCGGCACCAACCGTAAATTCCACAACTCTCCGATCGATAGACGAAATGAGACTTGTCGACAGTCGATAGTCGACAGTCGACAGGAGGAGCTCCAGGGACAGGCCCTCGAGCCTATGGGCAAAGATCCGGGGAAGACGGGCCAATAGGGCGATGCGTCAACGTGGCGTAAAAAAAGAAGTGCTGCATCTCGCTCTCGGAGAGGTTTAGGTCTGGCTATGGGGGGAGGGGGGGGTTGTTTCTTGCTTTCTTGCTTTTTCTTTTGGCTCTCCTCTCCCCCCCTCTCAAGTTCTCAACGAGTCAACCTCCTTTGGGGCTCATTCCCGCTGGAATATGGATCCGCGATGATTCAAAAATCTCGCAAATCTCGCAAACCTCGCAAATCGCGTCAAAGACATCACGTCGGAATGGGTAGTGGAGATGGTCTGATACCTCGTTTGCTCGACCTTTTGGTGTCGCATCCCCCCCCCCCCCCCATCCAGTGGGCTCCGTATGCTATGCGCAGTTGTGACTGAACCTGCGGTGTTGTGTGTATCGGTGCGTACATTTCAGTTGAGTCTTCTCTGCAGCTCAATGTGCATGTCCAATTGGACTTTCTGCTGTATGCTTTTTTCATCATTGCCTTTGCTACCCAACACCAACACACATACACAGCTGATAAGAAACGAGTTGAAAAAGCAGCAAAATGATGTTCGTGTATGCGACTGAATCCCGAGTTGGGCTCTGCTCTGCTCTGCCCTGCTCTGCTCCAAACATTCAATGACACGGGCAACCAACAGCCAGTGACATATCCCACCACCGGCACTCGTCCAAAATATGCTACCGATATCCCCCTTGCAACCCTCTCGCAACTGAAATGTGACGAATGACGACCCGATCGACTGGGCCTGACGATGCGCTTGAGCCAAGTTGCCGACATGCAGCCCGTTTCGTTTGGAGCTCGCGGTGCGGGCGGTGGACCGGAGCCTGACAGAAATCCTAACGGATAGACCTGGTGGTGTCTACGGATGCAGATACATTTTCTGGTCTGGCCTGGGGGGGCGCCAGGGGGATCCGAAATGCGGCATGTCATGATGCCACGCTCTCTCCCTACCCTCGACTCTCGAGTCAACCATCCGAGTCCCCTTCCCCTTCCCCTTCCCCAAATCTCATCCCTGGTCTCAAACCCAGCCCAGCCCAGCCCAGCCAGCCCCCCAGCCCCAAACCCCAGTCCATCACGACATGAGACTAAGACCAAGACCAACCCATCCATCGGCTGTCAAGACTCAAAATTCCGATCTCTGTGAAGAATTTTGCACACTTGACCTCCCACACACACACACACACTCGCACACACGCACAAACACCCTGACGCCCCAAACATCCCGATTTAGATGACTCGAAATGCCCCCAGGGGCCCAGTCATGTTAAACCCAATACAGTAGTCCTTGACGACGTGGAACTCGAAAAAGCAATTCTATATACTTACAGCGCCGGCTCCCACGGAATCCTGTTCCGGCAACACGATCGACAGGCCACGCGCCGTCCGCCTCTGCAAATACCTAGTGTAGGTAGCTAGGTACCCCACTACGACTCTGTCGGATGATGGATCATGGATAGGCCCTCCTGGACGATCAGCGGTGTGTCATGCGTAAGTAGGTGATGTGGATATTCCTTCTTTTTTTTTTTCTTCTAGTTACAACAAAAAACGTAAAACACTCACCGGGCGAGAGAGGGAGAGAATGACAGACAGCCTGGGAAGCTGCCAAAGCTGGACGGCACGCATTCTAGCCGAGCTTCGCCTGCAGAGCAACGCTCGGATGAGTACCTACTGATATGGGTCTTGATATACACAAGGGAGCATCGAAAGGGATACACATCTTTTCCATATTTGATACCAGAGATGGCTCCTGGGGCTGAATAACTACTCATCCTGCCTGCCAACCTGATACTAATCACCCGCCCGTTCTACATTCGAAACAATGCCCTTATCCACCTCTTCAAACCCTTATGACGGCAGTCGCTTCTGCAAGTCATGCCAACTACCAAGTATGAAGTAGCGTGTGATCATAGCTGCTCTCGGTTCTGACGTCGCAAGAGATGGGGAATCGGGACCGCAATCCTGACTTCTCCAGCAACAAAGTGCAAGGATGGTACACATATCTCGACCGTCGCCATTGCGTCCCTCCTGTGGCACAACAGTTGCGTTCCTTCGCCATGGAGGCTGGATCGAGTGTCTCAAAATATCTAGTTTGGCAAGCATGGCTCGCGAGTCGCAACACTCCTTGCCTCCGGCTTCCCACGAGACTGGCCAACCGGCCGCCAAGTGTATCTCCTCGGATGGTTCCCTAGGTATCCTCTTCGAGAGTGTTATAGCCATTCGGAGGATTTGATTTGCGCGAAACCAGGTCCCTTTGCACATTCGCATCAGAAACGTTTTTGTCGATGACGATTTGGCTTGGCTTCTGGCCCCCCTTCCCCCCCGCCCCCCCAAAGAGCCGCATGTCAAGCCCTCCGCGTGTCTCCACTCCACGACGCCCGCCAAAGAACTGAAATGCTTGGGTTCGATGCACAGTGTGACGTTGGCTGATGGACATGGAGCTCAAGTTGCACAGACACCTGGCATTTGGCGTGGCAAAGGCAAAAAAGAAAGCCTATGCGAGTGTGATTCGCTACCTTGCTGCGCCGCAGGAGGGACCTAGACAGTGGCCTGAGGCGGTCTGGAAACGTTCGTGGCGCCATGATTCAAATCCTGGATTGCATAGACATGCAGGAGATACTCTGCAATGGCTAGGCGGATGTTGGCCCAAAGACGATATCAACCGATCCGCCTGACACCGACGCAGAGGCAATTTGCGAAGCTGCCTACACTCAAGCACTCGTGCTAAAGTAGTAGTTCTCCCACAGATACTCGTAGTCCTCCAGAATGCCACCGACAAGGTTGGGTACTCTGGATCGTACGCCGCCAACAACACCCTTCATGACGTTTTCGTAGAATGCTCCGCGCATAGTCCACCAACCCATGGCCCAGCCTCTCTTGCTCCATTCATCGCGTTCGAGTGGCGTTGTTCTGAAGCCCCGGTCTCTGAGTTGCCGCGCTGCGTATTCGACGCTCAGGCCGACAAGCCACGGTGTCCATGACTTCTTATTCTTGCTCTTCGACAACGCGACGGCATACACCAACGGCGCGAGGATGTGCAGTACCTCTGCGGCCTGTGCGCTACCCTGTAACTGGTTCAGCAACTTCGCAGCTGGTTTGATATCCTCCGCTGTCAACACCTTGCCCAGGAGATAGCCACTGATATCACCAGCGTTGGGCAGCGAGGGAAGGCTCATGCCAGTCCTGGGCATAACCCAGTCTCTCTCATGAGGTTTCTGCGCCTCCTCACTATCTTCCGGCGCGTGCCCATTGGTCGGCTCGTCCAGCATCTCCTTCAAAGCGCCGTCACTTTCGGCTTCGGTATCTTCGGGGATAGGCTCCCGTTCTGGAAGAACGGGCGACACAAGAGGACGAGAGCGCGTCACGCGCAATAGCAATAGGCGGCAGATGGCCTTAATAGCTTCTAGAAGCACGACGACGCGCCATCGACTGCGCTCGCCGCCGCGCCTCTTGGCAGCCATCTCGCACAAGAGCTGTGTGTATGTGACCATCTGCAGTAACATGGCGATGCGTCGGTACATGGGACTCCGCTGGGTCCAGTATTTGGTATATCGGGCGTGAGGAGATGGCAATCGCGCCATCGGTATGCGCGATAAGGCGCGCATGAGAAGGGTATCATGATATAGAGAAAGGAGCTGTACACTCGAATGCACGGTTTCGGAGGCAATTTCGGCATCGCGGAATCGACCTGTTGGGGGCAGTGTCTGTTAGAGTGGCGGCAGCGAAGACTCTCCCGTATACGGAGGCGTCTTACCAGGGATGATGTAGGTGAGAGACCTTAAAGCCGACTCTATTTGAGAAACCTGACTAGAGTTCTTGGTAATGAACTCTTCGTACATATGAAGCCATTGCGGTGGTAGCGAAAGAACGGCGCGTATCTTTGATGGTTGATGCGACAGCCGGGTCTTGCTGGGGATATCGGCGGAAGTCGACATGGTGGAAGATTCAGATCATTAGGACGTGGCAATAGCTGCGCACCGAGCAATCGAGGCAAGGTGGAATTGAACAAATACAGAGGAAACGCGCGCACGGCGGTGATGTTAGTATAAAGAGAATGAAAACAGAAAGCGAGATGTCAAGGCGAAGTGGAAGTGGTAGGGGTGACGCCGACGTGGTGTAAAGAAGGGTTTGGCGGTTGGCGGAAATAGGTATTACGGTAACCTCCCACTGCAAAAGCGCCGGAGTCGAGGTGGTGCAGGTGCAGAAGGTTTAATGATGACAAGCAGCCCGCGGGCGACCGACCGTAAGCCGAGGTCGCCTGGGCTGCCGTCTCCGGTCCTGCCACAGGCAATCGCGCTGGCATGAGATAGGAAAGTGCATCATCACCCGCCAGTCCAACGCATTGGGCCAATAAGATTACGTCGCATGCCTCGGTAAGGGCAATCCCTGCCGGGCCAGAGTCCGTCTATTTGCATACCTTAGGTGCCTTACTGCACGAGTCCACACAGACAGACTCTCAAGGTATTCGTATCTCATATCCTTTTGGGCGCATGGTGAGCCTCAGAACGATACCAACTTCTACAGGGCTCTGCCACTTCGTCTACATCTCCATATTTGCACACAGCGAAAGGCAGTTGCGTTCTAGATCCCCTCAAAGAATCCCCTCGGCACTGATGTGCCACAGTGACAACTTGCCGAGAAAGTTGCATTGCAACAAGTACATGGAAGGGGGCAAAAGACAGCCTGCTCCGAAGCACACGTCGTCTTCATCTCCAATAGAAATGGTAGGGTATCACAAAAAACAAAATGCCTTGCCCGAGGCCAAACTCCTGTGTGGGCAGAACGAGGCCTCGCCCTTTGTTCCCAAGTCTACTCATACGTAGAGGTCCATGTGCTCCCGAGCAAGCATGCTGTTGAACCCGGGTTCTTGGTGCCTTGCCCAACTCTCCAATCCGCCCGGATCAGATTCTCTCGAACCCAGCATCTGCGAGCTCAACTCCGGTAGGGAGCATCGGCCGCCCCTGCATCGGGAATGGCCAGAATAGAGGATTCTCCAACACCTTGGCCGCTCGCTCGACCGATGCTTGTCCCGGTTCCGTGCTTTTCGGGCCCATGGCTACCGCCGGGTTGGGTACATCAGCTGCGTCGGTGCTGCCTCCCCAAGCGCAGATGAAATCATCCTCAATGACATTGGGTGCAAAGAAGTTTAGACTGCTTGTATAAGGCCTGACGAGATGTGCGTACTCGGCATCCGAGGCCACTTCGCCGCCCATGTCGACACCCATGTTCCACTTCTTTGCAAGGTATCGCAGTATATTGAGCGCCTGTTCTGCAAAGTGATGGCACGGTGCCATCTCCTCCAGATCCCGGATACCTTGCTGGATAGCTTCGACAACGCGAGGCGGATACGGGGTTTGAGTGCTTGGATCGGTATTAGGTTGAGCCGGTCCTTCAAAAGCTTTCTGCAATGACAACGAAGACGATGAGGTTGCACCAATGGCGAGATGCATGATGGCCGATGTGAGGACGAAATACGGCACAAATGACGGCGTCCTACGCAGAGTATAGAGTTGCGAATAGGATCGCAATAGGCCTTGGATGGCATCAGCCGCCTGCCCACATACGTCTCGAGGTAACAGCTTAGAGCCGATGATCTTCAGCTTGATGAGGGGCCGGAATAGAAGCAAGATCGCAAAGTGATAATACATGCTATTCCGATATTCGGTCAGTGCATGTTGCAGCCATCTCTCGTAAGAATAAACTTACTGCGCAAAGAGCACTGCGGGCGTGAAGTTATGCCCCAGTCTCAGAACTTCCGGTATCCTGTCATACCAGTTGAGGTATTGGGTGTAAATGCCGAGAAGGTCACGGCTGGTCAGCGGCCGCCCCGGGGAGTGCAAAATGTAGAGGCTCTGGTGCACGAGCTCGCTCAATTCACAAAAGCATTTATACACGGATCGAACGTTGGATGGCTGTTCGGCGGACCGCTGCAATGGTGCGCCTATCGATGAACCTGAGCCTCTATCGCTAGGAGAGCCTGAAGCCTCGCCTAGGTTTATTAAAGACTTACCATCGTCGGTGTAGGGGATCCATAGAGAGGCTTCTATGTCATCTATAATGGCGGGCTTTGGCGGTAGATGAGGAAAGCAGGAACATTGCGGAAGCGAGCCGGTCGCTAAAGACCACGCACTGGAGAACTATCAGTTTGCGAGAAATGGTATCAAATTTCACTGAGGAAGCTTACTGATCGAGAGCGAATGCACCCCAGAAAGTGGCAGCCTGAACCGCAAACTCGTCATCGTCACCATCTTCTTCGAGCTGATGGAGTCCCATCTCAATGGCCAGACGAATGCTTTGTCCTGCGTAGTACCAGCTTTCCGAGTCTCTGCCGCAGCTGGCTTCTCGAATAGACATTATGCCCAAAGCTTGGATGGTGGTGAGGTTGTGGTGGTTCTCCTCCTGGTAGAACAGACGCTGCGCCTCTTTGAAGAAGTGATCGCCAGAAGTGTACGGGTCGTTGGGATTCGCTCTTGTGCTCGGCTTGCTGGAGAAACGGCACCCAAGTGCTAAGAGTGCATTGACGAGGATTGGGGAGCAGTAGCGTTCAACACCGTTCTGGAAATCTCTAAGAAAATGCTCCTTGCTTAGAGACGCAAAAGTCGGGTACTCCCAACAGAAGTACAGAGCCAGCAAATGCTGCACCAACGAGCCGTCCTCCGTAATACTCGTCCAGTCCTCCGGGGGCAGCTTCATGTCAGGTAATTCCAGCGGCGCCAGCACCTGATCCGCGCCTTGATGCTTCGAGCCGCCTTCGGAAGCTTCCGTGTTACTTGCAGACTCGGCCCAGGTATCAAATAGTCCCTGTGGCGGCCTGTTGGTGTCTGCGCTCCAGTTCATTGCGTCGGGATGAGAGTTGCTTCGCGTGCTCTGGCTATGCGATGAAGGGTGCCAGGGGCTGTTTGGATCTATCTCCTGACGCAAGCCAGACTGCCCAGTGATTGGGCTCATGGTCACAGAGCCATGATCTCCTAGGTTTCTGGTTCTTATAGGCGCTGGGGGAAACCCCTGGCGAGTCCCTGGGGCGGCGCTCGTTTCGCCAGTCGGCTCATTTGGGCGAGCAAAAGAAGTCTTCGAACCACCACCCGACGGCAGAGCACCACCTATCCAGTCCGAGACGGATTCAAGCGATTGTCCGCTGCGCAATCGTTGCAACACATCCTCCCACATGTCGGAGCGAACGAGAGCGGCCATGACCTGGTCGCTAGACTTCTGGCGTTGGCGCAATTGTTCGAGCTCGGTTCGGAGGTGCTCCTTTGATTGGCGGACTGGGACCTCGTAAACACATTCTACGTCTTTCTGAGCCTTACAACGGCCGCAAGGCCTTTGCCCGTCGCACTTTTTGCGAACTTGTCAGCGCAGAGACGGTGAAAATGGGTGCGGGGGAAACATGTCGTGATTGCTTACTTTCGCTCGCTTCTTGCGGCACTCTGTACAGGCATTGGGAGTGACCACGCCCAGCCCTCTCCTCCTCTTGGACAATTGGGCAGCACTGGAGCTGTTGGAGGGCGTAGGTGCATTGGCAGGGGCGGAAGTAGAAGCGGAAGCGGTTGCAGGAGGTAATCCTGCGGAGGAAGCAGAGCCAGCAGCGGGTTGAGGCTGCTGTTGACTGTCGGGTGCCTCCTCCATATCGGCAGTAGTTGCGCGCTTCAGGTTGACTGACTGTAGGCTCGGGCCGAGTCTACAAAGCGAACTCGACTTTTAGGGCTTTGTTTGCGAATTAACATAATGAGGCCGTTCAAAGGCGGAAGCTGGTCGTCATGGATCCGAGAAAAGGGGAAAAAAAGATTTCGGACTGGTGTAGTGAAGCAGCAGTGCCGCCTAGCAGCAGCGTTGATCGTCTAGATGGTTCGCGTGAGGCAGAGAGCTAACGAGAAGGCGCTCGCGCAAGGAGAGGGACGCGCGTAGGATTCTAAAGGATCGAGGAGGAAGGCCGAGGAGGGTTGGATGGCACTACAGGTGAATTGGCCGCTGCTCGCCGTTGGTGCTATCGTTGTCGTCGAGCGGCAGACAAGCAAGCACTGTCCAGAGACGGGAGGATGAGAGGTTGACAGCGAGAACTGCCCCTCTTTCCGTAAGGCTCTTGCTATCGAACCATGCGCTCGGTGTGCAATTGGATACGCGATGGGCTGTGGGGAAGGATTATGTGACACTTGAGGAATTGTTGTGCGCAAGCCGCTAGGATCTCATTGAGCAGGTGGAAAATGGCCCGGGTGGTGGATGACGGAAGAGCATATGAGGCAGGGAGCGCAAAAATTGGGCAGCCGGTGGTGAAGGAAGGGAACGGCGGTGGTGGGAAACGCGGGAATGAGTGGCAGTGTGCAGTGTGCGGCCGGGTCGGGTCCCCCAGTCAGAGAGAACGCGGACGAAGCGACGGAAGGAGAAAGAGAGATGAAGCACAGACACACAAGATGCAGTACGGACACCTGACGAATACCTACCTAGATTACACAGGGAAGGGAAGGTCCCTTGGGAAGGAGGAGGTAGGTACGGATACACGACAGGGCAGCTCCTTCCCCAGATTCCCGAGCTTCCAGCCGCTCGAGGTCCCAGCTCCCGCCTGCCCGCTAGGTAGGTGCGAGGGGTAGGTGAAACTTTTTTGCTTCCAAGGCAGAGCTGGGACGCCTCAGGCAAGCTGCAAACCTGAAAGAAGTCGAGACTGAGTTTTTCAGCTGAATCAAGTTCTTGCTTTTCTTTTTGTCCTCCAAGAAAATGGCTAGCTGGCGGCGACAAAGGGAAGCAGCGAGCAGGCAGCAAGCACAGTGGCACATGCTTCAAGGCACGTATTTTGTATACCTAGCCGCAGCTTCGATTGGGAGGGTCACAGCTTAAGGTACCTTAAGCTTCACATGGGCCGACTAACGGCCTTAGATAAGCCATCATCCTTGACAATGCTTGATGTCGCGTTTCTACTTAATGATTTCTGTAGAAGTCTTTCCGTACCGAATCCCGAATATCATGGCTACATTGCTTCTCCAGGCCAATTATTTCATCTCAAGAGCAAGAAAAGCCAAGTACCCAAGTTGCGATGGTTCTCTTTCAGATAAGCGGCACTACGTCACTTCGTTTATTGGCGGTAGCCCTCTCCACAAAGCTGCCCGTCTTCCCTGCCCCCAAGTCCGAGCGCCAGCAAAGCGTCTTTTTGTAAGTTCTCAGTTCAAGCTTTGAGGATAGAATGTACATGTAGGTGCAGCGAGTCTCAGTCAACATTTGGCTACATTTCCTGCGCTTATCAAAACGTAATTGACGATCAAACGCACCTTCGCCTACTGCCGTCAGTAACTACTGGAGAGAGCCGTAGCTCGTCCTGATTTGGCTGCTTCTGGGGCCGGCAGTCGACTCTTCTGGAAAGCAGTGCGTTCTTCGCTCAATCCAAACATCATCTTATCGCACATATGGGAATTAGTGTGGAACAACACCTCCAAGGAGCTGTCGAGACTATCACGATCGAGGATCGAGGCCACTTTTCAACTCCGGGCTGGAACTTTTCCTCCGCCAGCCTCCAGGTAGTCCACTCCTCTGCGATGCTGTACCCGCGATATGGGGCATCGAGCATACCTCGTCCTGCGAAAACCCTGGTCGGCGACCCTCAAATCGCAGGGGTTTCCCTTGCCCGCTAGAGCAGAGGTACCTGAGGTGGTTGCCAACTTGGAGCTCTGATACGATGGTGTCCTGAGGCCCGGAGGGAATATCATCGTGACTACCTAGGCATCCCGAATTGGCGTTAATTTCTTATTCTGTGAAGAATTAGGTTTTTCTGCCCCCGCGCCAATAGACACGGTCAACGAGACCCTCGGTCTTGCAAACTTCTGCTCCCGGGCCTCATGTATCCACGCGTGAAAGGAAAAGTGGAAAGGCAAAATAACGAGAGGACGGCATGGGTTTCCTTGCCTTGGAAACCCGGGCCTCGGGCACACATGGGCTGAACCAAGGCCCAGAACATGCGCGCCATGTCGAGACGTTTCGGAAGTCACACTTACAGAGGAAAACCCATATCCAGTATTCCACCCAAGCCGTCGCGAGCTCGCGACATCGTGGCTTGTGCAACCAACGCTTAGCTCGCCACGCGCTGCCAACGTGGGTATTCCTTCGGACACTTTCTCTGAGACAGGTTATAGTGACTGTCTCTGCCGAAAGCAGGGCAACTTGGGGGAGAAAGATCCAACAATTGATGCTCCGGGGCAGCATCTCCCCAGCAAGCCGCCGGGATGGATCTTAACCCAGGGGAGACGGAATCTACTGCGTCGCGTCAGCGGTTCGCGCTCAATCTGCTACTGGCATGCGCAAGTTATGATTCACTTTTTTTTTTTTTTTTTGGAATCTGCTAAATTCCTCATGTGGTCTTGTGAAGCTTCAGCATTTCAGCCTCAGGAGCTCTTCAGGTTTCCTCCGTTCCCGCGCTGTACGGGTGTAGTAAAATGCGACTGCCCGCGATTCAGGAATCCTCAATTTGACTGGACGGTGGTTCAATTTGATAGAGGCGGGGCCACATTTTGACAGGGCCGAATTCTCCGCCAAGGGCCGTCCAATTGACGTCATAACATCGAACCGGGCCTAGCCCGTTCAGCGGAGACCCCATAGGCGGCACTGACTGGTAAATGTAGCTTACATTACTTGAGTTCACGTAGCTCTGCTGCAGAATTGTGGTTCTGGTTGAAGGTGATGGTAATTATGAACCTTTGCAGCGACTCATACAGCTAAGGATATTGACAAATGAACTTTTCAGAATTGTGAATAATCGAAGGGATGAAGTTCCTGCGAGTCTCCCTGGCTGTAAATCAACGTATCCTGGTCCGCCGGTGGAAGCAGTAGCCGAAGCCCACCTCATCTCGTCCCGAGCCTCCAGATGACGCCGCATCTGGCCCCCAAACCTTGTTCCTGAACATGTGTACATTATACAATTAACCCTTGCAACTCCGATCCCATGCATATGCATTGTGTTGTGTGCCCCTGTTTCTCGATTCACGCTCACGAGGAAAGGTGAGTATCCTTTTGTGAGTCTCCTTGCGAGCCCGCTTCTGCTTTCTTAGTAACCCTTCATGGGGCTCAGACCTCCTCCTCCTCCATACTTCGTTGGGCTTCGCAAACGGTCGCGGTCACCCTTACTTGGGCTGCGACGTCCCGAAGGAGTTCGTGGTGGCATGATCATCTTCATCTTTGGTGGCGATGCACCGTCGGTATCGGTGTCGTCGTTGTTATATTGAAGGTGTCGACGGTGCGATGGCGTCTGGATGGGAACCCACATATACGCCTGGGAAGGCTCCGGAATCACCGATGGCTCAGGAGCCACCCCAGACGTAGCGCGGTGCGATGGCACGGGACGGGTTGGACCGGCATTATTCGCCATACGACCCAGAGTAAGGTTGTTGGCGACGATGCAGAGGAAAAGGATGCCAAAGAAGAATACCTTCGTATTGCTGTCAGCGGATTTGTTATGAGATGGCTCTGAGAGACAACACTTACCCAAGCTTTGACTTGCATGGCACCAGCAAATTCGTTGAGGATTTCGGCGATTTGCTTGACCGTGACCCGAACTCTCATGATGGCTGACGAGTCCTGGATCATACACTCGTACCACTCATCGCACATGGCCTTCAGAGCAGGGCGGTCCTTTTTGATGCATTCGTTCAGGGTGTACTCCGCCCGGCACTCGGAGATCCTGTTCTCAATGTCCAACCGAGCTGCGTCGTTGGCGGTTCGGATATCCGACCGGACAGTATCGAAGATGGTCCAGCAGAAGAACACAAAGGCCGATACAATGACGCAGTTGACGAGGAGTTGAATCCAGCGATAGAGGTTTTCAGGCGCATTCGGGTGTTCCTCCAGTGTGTGGAAGAGGTTGGCGATCCAGCCGCGACCGTTCTTCCTCTTCTTCTTGATACCCTTGCCACCACGCGCACCTGCCGAATGGGACCCACTGTCGTCCGAGTCCTCTTCCGAATCATCCCAATCCTGCGATCCGTGGTACCGCACGCTGCCAACATCTTTGTCCATGTTGTGCCGCTTCCGCTTCCTTATAGCGGAGTAGTCGCGTCCGCCTCGAGCGATCTCCCCCTTGCCTGGCACATGGCGCTTCAATGATTGAAGGCCAGCCTTGCCGTAGCGAAGGTTCTTATTGACCTTGGATGCCGCAATGGTGCCCACGTTCATGTCGCCGAATCTATCGACGTCGGGTGTGTCCTCTGGGAATTCCGAATTTTCCGTCAAGGCGGGGCTGGTCTCTGCGCCTGAAGCTTCCGAAAAGGCACTCTCATCGAACGGTTTGCGCGGGGTGGTGAAGGCAGGGTTTCGAAACGGCGGCGCCGTATTGCTGCTCTGTATTCTAGGAGAGAAGAGAGACGTCTGCGGTAGGGCTGGAAGTGGCTTCGACGGGGTGTTTGCGAAGAGATTCGGCTTGGATGGGCTAGAGAAAGGGTTCGGCTTGGAGCTCGCTGCGAACTTGTTGGGCGAGTTGAAAACTGTGTAGAGGTAGTAGGGTCAGCAAATGTTTTCGAAAGAGAGGCCAGGGAGCGACCTATGGACAATCTGTTGGAAGTCATCGCTGAGGTGTGAGCTCACTATTCTGAGTGCTACTTTTCGCAATGTGTGAAAATGGGCTGGTCGCATCCAGAGGGCCCCGGTCCTGGTATTCCCATTCCATGGGACTTTCGTAGGTGCGGCGATCCATTCTGAACTTTTTTGCATGCGGCAACCTGGGGAGACAAAGCAAAGTGGTGTTGTGGGTGGGAAGTGCACAATAGCTATCGTCGCGATCGGTCCGGGGGTGGCGGCCAAGGGTCGAAATATTCTAGCTGCTGTCCAGAACAAACCACCGTTCTAGAAATCAAAGTAAACAAACCGTGCCTCAGGCAACGGAACCTCCCGTTGGCTGCTGATTACCTTACCTTAGCTTCTTAGGATTGGGTACGTACCGCAAGTGGCCAAGGGGGATTACTTCCTTCCCATTGTATGCACCAGCCACATTTGCGCAGAGATAGCCCACTTCTGAGGCTGGCCTCAGCTTCCCAGTTCCTTGACAACTACCACTTGAGCTCGGACCATCTGAAAATCGAAGGGCAACGACGACAAGGCGAGGCGGGCGGTTCTACCATTTACTTCATTGAGACCAACACAACTATCACCCATCAAATCTCGGAGCCGTGCCTCGCATCCGGCCACATAGCGTGCGCTCATTTTCCCCTTGCCACAATGTCGGACATCGAATCCCTCCCCGAATCTCCAGTGCCAGATCGCGATGAAGAGCCTCGCGAAGGCGCCGGAGGTGCGACCGCTCACGAGCTATCCGACGACGACCTGCTGTCAGAAATCGACGAGGATCAGTTCGAGGACTACGACCCAGAGACGGCAAACATTGAGGATCGTCCGGTAGCGGTCGATGAAGATGTGGCCAAGACGCTCAAGGCGTCAAAGCGCAAGATCGCCGACGGCGCAAAAGCGAAGAAGCCCAAGGAAGGACGCCGAGAGAAGAAGAGATCACGCGACGATGAAGTCTCTGGCGAGGCGGACGGCGATTCGAGAGGCCCGGCTCGGAAGTCGAGACGCCAGGCCGATGCCGGCGAGAGGAAGCCGCGGCCCAGCAAGCCTGCCGAGCCTGAGATTGACGACGAGTCTCATCTCAGCCCCGAGGAGCGCAGACGGCGGGCGATTGATCGGGCGTTGGACGCCGCGATGAAAGGACCAGCCAAGCGCAAGAAGAAGAAGGACGAGATTGTAGGTAGACTCGCGTCGTGCGCAATCTTGGAACTTGCTAGCTAATGACGGACGATGCAGGACCTCGAAGACGAAATCGACGAGGAGATTGCCGATCTCAAGGTCGCCATGGAGAAGGCTTGCGAAGCTGACAACACTGCGCGCGAGGCCGGTCAACCAGCTGTTCACAAGCTGAAGCTCCTACCATTAGTGACGGGCCTTCTGAACAGGAATAATATCCAGCACGCCATCCTCGACCCCGATACCAACTTCCTCCAGCACGTCAAGTTCTTCCTCGAACCCTTGAACGACGGCAGTCTGCCTGCGTATAATATCCAGCGGGACATCTTCAACACGCTCATCCGGCTTCCCATAGAGAAGGAGACCTTGCTGAGCAGTGGCATCGGAAAGGTCGTCTACTTTTACACCCGCTCCAAGAGGCCCGAACCCAGCATCAAGCGCATGGCCGAGCGCCTCTTGGGTGACTGGAGCCGGCCAATCCTCAAGCGAACTGACGACTACAAGAAGCGCCACGTCGAGACGCGCGAGTTTGACTACGAGTACGTCACAATCCTGATTATGTCCTCTGACCACGATACTAACACTCCCACGTCAGGGCTCTGAAAATGTCCCAACGCCAGGTCGGAAGCTCCCAGTTCACCCTCACGCAGCGTCCTTCCCAGTCCGCCAGAGAACTGGAGCGCGAGGCCATGCTCGCGCCCGTCGCTACATCGAACCGCGCCCGTCCTGGCGGTCTTCCCGACAGCTACACGATCGCACCCAAGAGCACATACGACGTCTCGCGAGCGCCCGAGCACCGCCCCATCGGTGCCGGCGGTCTAGAGGCGTTCCGAAAGATGACCCAGAACCGCAAGAAGCGGTAAGGAGACGGATTGCCATGGGAATTGGGATGGTTGATTTTCCTCCTTTTACTGGGCTTCGTTGGGAAGAAGCTCAACAACTTTGTATTATTTTGAGCATTAAAAAATGGCGTTCCGGGTCGAGGGCTGTGATGGGAAGGCTTTTCCAGGAATCGAGAAGAAAGAATGCCAACCATTTCGAGCAAAAAAAAACACAAGAGCCCCCAAAAAATGGCATATGTTCGTGCGATGCTTCCTAATCGAATCCAAGTGTTGCTCCCTGGGACGGTTTGATCGAATGAGGCGGACTACAAAGTAGAAATCGTAGGAGACGAACCAGGCCTTTCCAACATTGTACTCGTCGCAAGTCTCTGTGGCAGTGATGTAGCCAAGGTCGTAGCCTAAAGCGAAATTCTGGGGGCAAGAGGGTAGTATCCGTAGCTCAACAAGAAAAGTCGTCCATCTTGGACAATTTTTTGTTAGTCTTGTTATTTGAACCCCCACCACTGTTGTAGCTAGGTACGATTTCAGCAAAAGTTTCGCGCATATCAAAGTGGCCAAGCAAGTAGTCTGCTGACTTACACTCCGTCACTGGTTCATCGATGGTTTATGCGCATATCTATTAAGTTACGGATAGTAGGTAAGAGCTTTTTCGCTCGTCCTACCATTCCTAGTCCCTGGATTCCATCTTTCCTTGTGTAGATAGAAACTGTCTAATACTGACCATGATTCATCTCCATCCCCATCCTCATCCCTCCCTCGCCATCTCCTCCGTTCCCTCTATCCTTTGCGACACTTTCGTCTTGTCACAGTTTTTTTTGGAGGGGGATAGAGCAGCGCACAAAGCGCTTCCGTCTTTCAGCACTAGCAAGGAGCGGAACCTCGCGCTTCGTGCTAAGGTATAGCTGGGTGCGAAAATCAAGCCAATTCAGGATGCAATACTGGCGACAAAGATGCAGAAACGCTGATGCAGGGGGGTGGGGGCCGGTGACCGTTCATATAAATTACGTTAATATCTAGGGTGGCCCCCCTGCATTTAAAGCGGTCATCGTTACTGTCTCCCCCTACCGTTTCCGCACCTCGGTCGCCCAGCCATCGATGCCCTCGCCCCGGCTACCAACCTCGAGCCCGTTGATTCGGACACCCTTCATACCCGGTGTGTCATCGAGCCACACATGCCCAGCCATACCACCAGCGTTGGCACGCTTCTCAGGTACCAGCTCAAGCATGGGCGTCAAAAAATCGGCGATGCGCTTCCCCTCCTCCTCTTTGAAATGATATTTCTCGCGGAGGACGTCGGTCAGAGCCCAGTGGCGCAAGCGGTGAATGTTCCGCAGCTCGCCCTTGCGATTGAAAATTTCTTGGGACCATTTGCCGGATAGGCAAAGTGACTTGGGGAAGGGCCCCAAGAGCTCGATAATTTGTGCAATGTGGTCGTCATCCTTTCCATATTTGGTTCCGGATTGGGGGTCAAAGAGGTAGTCTCCTGTGATCAGTTCAAAAACCTATAGGCGCATCGTTAGATGGGAGGAGATCAAAGGTGCATGCTGCGACCCGGAGGATAGGAGCACTGGGTAGGCTATGCTCACCATTGCCGCCATACTCCAAACATCAGTGCTGGCGCCCCATTTCGCGCCCAGAATGACCTCAGGTGACCGATACTGCCGGGTCTGGATATCATTGGTAAAGTGGTGGTTGACCCAGCAGGCGTTGCCCAAATCTGCAATCTTGACGCTAATAACATCAAATGCATGCGCATCCTCCGCCTTGCGCTTTTCTCCAGAAGATTGTGAATTGGTCTTGTCGAGTGAAATGCCGGAAACTTCCTTTGTGAGGAGATCACTGCGATGGAAAAGGGCGGTCAGTATCAGGTGAGGCTCATCCATTATCTTGTAAGGTGGGGAAATGCTCACGCTGTCTTTTCACGCGTCTTTTGGTCAGCGTCGCGCTTCGGGGAGGCGTTGCTAGATGTCTTGCCATCTATTAATCATAGCAAGGGTTAGCACACGGTCAATATGCCAAACAGAATGGGTACGGGCGGTTTTGGATTCGTGGCGCGACAGGCCCTGTGTGATTGAGGTGGCGCAACTCGCGGGGTGCAAAGTGGCGGTGTTGAGAGGGGGGCTTACCTTCGTGTAGCACTTGGCTGAGGCTTGAGTTGGTGCTTGGGAAGAGGTTATTGTGATTAAAACTGGCATTCAGAGGAGACGGCAGCGGCTGGCTACCTGTAATGAGGGTGCGTCTCCTTCTTCGGCCGTTTCTGTTGTTCTCTTTGTCGCCAGGTTCGCTCTTGACGACCTTCTTGACAATCTGTTCAACGTCGCCAATCTCGATGAGGACGTTCTCGGGTTTCAAGTCGGTATGAATAATGCCACATTCGCGGTGTAGGTAATCAAGGCCGAGCAGCACTTGCTTCGTGATTTGCTTGACCAAGGCCGTGGGGATACCTCGGTGGTTCCATTTCTTAATCAGACCCAGCAAGTTCTCGCCCAAAACCTCAAATACCATGCAAACGTGTGTGCCGTTGGGGCCCTTGTGTTCAAAGGAGTCGAGCAAGCTGACGACGTGCTTGCGACCGGGATGGTCTGGCTTGGCCTGGACGATCTTGTTGAGAAGTTTGATTTCGTCGATGGCGGTCTCGGTGTAGTGCGCGGCAGAGCGGACAACCTTCAAGGCAACATGCTTGCCCGAGTTGTTATCTCTAGAAAGCCAGACAGTGGAAAAATGGCCCCATCCGAGCTTGCGCACGATGGTGTATTTCCCGTCCTTGAACTTTTCGCCAATCTGAACGGGGTGGTAGCCGCCCTTGCAGTAATCCTCGGAATCCTCCTCGTCGGCTGTGTTCTCGGCGGGGTCTTCGCCGGATGATGTCGATGTCGGTGAGTTCTGCATGGCAGCGGACAATTGATGGGTTCTGTCAGAGAAGGAGGAATTAGCTCAGGTGTCGCAGTCTTAAGTCTGAATGACCGCGGTTCAGGCATGGCGCGCAAATTGGGGAGAAGAGGCGTCCGCGTCTGTGATGGAAAAGGCGGGGGTGGAGAATAGCAGGTCGGCGGGCGAAGATTTCGCAGCCGCCAAAGGAGCCACGGAATGCGACAACTCTAGGAGAAAGAAGAGCAGAAACCTTGTCTTGAGGAAGCTCATGTTTGCAACATTGCGCATCCGGCGCGAACAGTCCTATGGCAAAGAAAGGAATGGATCGAAAAAAGAGATCGAAAGGGCGAGGACCGAGCGATGGGAAAGATGAAAACAACAAGCGGGAAAAGAGAAAAATGGCAGAAAGGATGGACAGGACAGGATCCAGTGCGAAACTGGTGCCGCTCACAACATGGGAAAGTAAAGCTTGAATGAAGTGACAGCGGCAGGTCCAGTCGAGGCCGACTAGGGTGGATAGAGAAAAGGTTGGAAAGGGAAGAAGAGGGAGGGAAAGGATGGTAGGTGGAAGGCGGTGCGGTCGAGGCGAGGCGAGGCGGCGGGTGAGGCGCGGGATGTCTTCAGCCAGCGAAAGGAAAGGCAAATAAGAAATAAGAACAGTAGGCCAGCGTGGTTGAGGTAGCGAGCAAAGAAGGTTTTTTTTAGAGGCAGGTATCCGTAAGGTAGTGGCAGGATAAGGTAGATTGAAGTGGTAGCAGTGGGTTATGGCCAGCGTGTGTGTGTGCGTGCCGCCTTCTTCTCTCTCTCTCTCTCTCTTCTGTGTTCTGTGTTCCTCTTGCTCTCTCTCTCTTTCGCTCCGTCTCTTTTTCTCTCCGGTATCCCCAACCAAAAGGCACTGGAGCGGGACACTCAGGACGGATAAGGCCCCAGTCGGTAAGGTACCTAGCGAGAAAAAAACAGGTAATGAGAGGAGAGGAGGGGTCGGTGATGTGAGTGAGGAGAACAGACGGGAACAGAAGGTCAGGAACGGGGGGTTCAGAAAGTGGTGGTCTGGCGACGCAATAAGAATCCAGGCCTGGGCCACTTGGGCCAGGGTCGGGTAGCGTCACTTCAGGGTCAGGGTGGACGGTGAGCGTCAGCGGGGACTGCCCATCTCAAAGCCAGAGCAGATCGTCCTCCCGTCGGGTCGTGGTCGCGTCAGCAGCAACTTGCCAGTCGCAGCATCCCGGAATGCCCTACCGCGCCAGCGCTCCAAGCTAGAACGTGGTATGGGGTCGGTATTCTTGGTGGTACCAGCTTGGGAACCGATCTCCAATGTCCAAGATTGTCACAATTCAGCGTGTCTGTCCGATGCAATTCGGTCCAGTCCAGTCCAAGTCAGTCCAGTCCAGTCCGGTCCGGTTAGGTCCAGTCAGGCCCAGTCAGTCAGTCCAGTTGAGTCTGCGTTGACCATGGTCAACGACGGTGACGGTCATGTCTCGCTCGACCAGAGGTGGCGCCAGAAACGCTCCCGCACCGGTCGACGCACCTAGCATGCCAACATTGCCAACATTGCCGACATGCCACCACAAGATCTCAAGCTTTGAGCAGTAAGATAGCGTGCTCTTGGCCATCTCTCGTCAAAATCGCCCTGGTATCCGCCATCGCATAGGCGGAGCACAGCATGAGGCACATCGACAACATGCACCTCCAACTTCCAAAGTGCTGCGCATCTGTGGTTGTGGTGGTGGAGTGGTGGTGCTGCTGCTGCTGTTGCTCCTGCTGAGGTACCGGTCGGTGGTGGCAACAGCTGGCGACCCGTAATATTTGCGGCGTGGGGGAGCCGCCCATTCTTTGGCTGACGTTCAGCGCGCCAAACGTCCATCTCAGGCCTGACCAATGGCTTCCCTGTGCAACGGCAACGGTAGCGTCCAATCCGGAGCCACCATGTCGTCGGGTACCAGCGTTGGTCCCACTGTATGGATCCCCAAGTATTCGTCGTCTGTCGTCTCGTCGTGCTCTTCTTCCACGTTTTTTGACAGCGGTGTCGCAGCGTCCTTCGAAAGCGGTCCGCAGACCGGGTGTGAGACAAGCTGCGCGGCGCGGTGCTGGGCACACTGACTGGACGCTGCCCTCTGCTTCCGCTGTGCCAACTCGGACTGGACCGAACTGAACTGGACTGGATTTGGACTTGGACAGGGCCTGTCGGACTTGACAGGCTCAAACTCGCTTGGTCTGTGTTGCTTGCCCCCGTACTCCGCCCCGCCACAGAGCGCAGGGAAGAACGTGCGGCACCGGGCGCGGCGCTTTTAGACAGGATAGAGGGGTAATGGTGCGGATGGTGGAGGATAAAAAGGTGATAATGTCCTGTGTAAGTGAAGCTTGGGGCGCTAAATGGGAACAAGATTGAGGTAATGAAAACCAGCAATTTGCAACTTCCCCGCCTCTAAAGGAAACGGAAATAAAACAATGCGGCACGGACAGTGCAGTTCAGAGCAAAGAAAAGGAAACATTCTTGATCAAACTTACGGTGGTGTCTCGGTGGTAATGATAGGCTTCAGGCTGTCCTTCTTGCGCTTCTTGGCCGCCGTCGACGAACCATTGGCGTTGGCGTTGGCATTGGCATTGGCGGCTGCTGGCTGTAATGGTTGTTGTGCGACGACGTCTTGGGTCTGTTGAGTGCCGTTCATGATGGGCCCTGGAGGAATGTGGAATGCGGAATGCGAGGCGTCGTCCAGGTCAGGTGGTGTGGGGGAGCAAGTAGGGGGCACAAGTCGAGCTCGAAGGTCCAGATAGGCTGGTCGAGGTCGGCAGAGCGCGCCGCTGTGACGGCCTCGGATGGGTGATGCTTCGTTTGTGGTGAGCAGTCTAAGCTCGGGTATCCGATTGCAGCGCAGCGACTAGAAGCAGCTGTGCGCAGTGTCAATCCGTGATTCCCGTCTGTGATGGCTAGCCTTGCGCCTCGATAGGTACGTATCAGACTACTTGACAGTCGATGCAGGTTGTTCCCTCGGGAAGAATCACGGTAGGAGACAAGTCGGGTCGGCGGTCGTTGACAGCAGTAAGTGGGGTGGGAGAGAGAGTCAAGAGACACAAGCCGGAGAGGTCGAGGCGGGGGAGTGAAGACCAAAAATGACGAGCGGGATTTTGCGAGAGAGGGGCGCAGCGTCGATGTGCGATGGCGACGAGGAGCGTGGCGACAGGATCCACGGGGGAGCGAAAAGAAAGTGTGTAACTGGATCAAGGCGCGTCCATTTACTAGCAGCACGCGCGTCTGCGACCGCAATTCATCAGAGGTATTGCGCTGCGCTGTGATGGGATGCGACGGGGTCGGTCGTGGTGGAACAGCTGGCTTGCGCGATATCCTAATGTTGGTGGTTGTGGTGGTATTTTTGTCGAGAGTCGGGTGGAACCGTTGGCTATGGCTTGTAGCTCTTGGTTGCGATGTGATTAGGCGAGTGCGTCCTCCGTGAGGAAAGCTAGCCTCGCTGTTATTATTGTTGTGGTTGTCTTGGTGAGTCGAGCTGGGTGAGCCTTGGAGGCGATTGACGTTGCGACAAAGTGGCCAAGGCGGACGGACGGCACGAGCGAGAGAAGCAGGAGTGTCGGCGATTGGTAGAGTTATGGAGTGAGACTTTTTGATTATTTCCTGCGGTTTGTGTGGATGGAGTGCAAGGTCGAGAGGAAATGCGTGTATGAGTCGGGCAAGATCGGTCGCGATACGAAGTGGCCGTCGATGGTGGTCTTTAGTCTTAAGGTACGGATAGGCGCAGCCAGAGCTTGGGCGAAGAGCGGCCGGAAGATGACGAGGTAGTCGGGGTGACGCTGGCGGCTGGCGTTCATGTAAGGAAAGGTGGTGGAAGAGGAGGTTGGAGGGGTTAGGGTGAGGGCGAGCTATCTGCAAGGCAAGGCACGAAGCTCTGATTGGGGGGAGAGGGCGATGCTGAGGGTGAGGAGACGCAAGAAGATGGCTGCTGAGAACCGTGAAGGTGCAAGACAGGGCGAGGTCGAGCGAGGTGATGCGGATGCGGAGGGGGGTGGATGGGATGGGGATGGGATGCACAACGCAATGGGACGGAAGGATGGAAAGATGGATGGCGGGGGGTTGGAGGGAGAGAGAGCAGGGCACCCGTGGCGTCTCAGGCCGAGTCGAAGAGTCAAGAGTCGCGGCGATTAAGGTAAGGAATTGATTGAATCTATCGGGTCTCTCTCTGCCTGCTATCGGACAACGTGAAGGTGAGTGTGGTGAGGTAGAGCAAGGTAACCCGAATCCGCTCTGCCAGGAGCTAAGGACGTCATTGATGGGGTTGTTGGGCGCAACGCGGGCGGCTTCTGAGAGAACTTGAATGCGACAAGCAGCTGATGCGACCGAGTCGCCGGCCGCAATTGGCGACGGCAGATGGTGGGGGTGGGTTGTGGAACACGGAACCGGGGGGGGAGGGCGAGGGAGGGGACTCGGGAACGAGAGCAAATGGATGAAGAAGAGTCAAATTACAGGTATTCAACTCTTCTCCAACAGGGCAACAGCACTTGGTGATTACTGGGCCTAGGTAGCGTCTGACTGGGAAGCTCAGGAAGGAGTCCGGACAGGCTTGTGAAGAAGGCATGGGGACATGAGATTGGAAGGAGATGCCACCTCAGGCCAGGCAGGTTATTAGGTAAGGTGCCCTACCTTAGTGTCCGTACGAGGCACCTTCCCATATGATTGTCCACCTGGATGGAAGCATCGCTGTACCTTAAGGTAGGCATCATCAACAGAAGTCGTCCAGCAGCGAACCTTCTGTCGCATGCAGTCGCAAAGACGTATAAATGTTAACCCGGCCTAGGTAATGTTTTTGCGAACATCCGCTCCAAGAAAATGGTCTTTCATGTGTCTGGCATCTGTGCACGAGACATTCTAATGTATCCGTACACTGAGTTCGACTGGATTCGTCTTTCCATCCTCATGCTGAGCGCATTCGGGAGCACCTTGGAGATTAGATAAAGATTCCTCTCGATAAAGCCTTCGGATCGCAGTCTCCACTCTGGACTTGCAATTCCTGCATCCTTAGCTAAGACGACTTACCTAAGCTTCAAGATCGAGAATTGGCCTGGAACACCCTGTGAGAATTTGCATCTTGCCTAACTGAGAGGTCCCGGCGGAGTCAATCACACCCTGTTCTCTCGCATGCCATCACATCGTCACTAGTCACCGGGAAGCCTGTGGAGAATGGCAGGGTACATTCTATTTCAACGTTTTCTGTTGCTTATCCAAAGGATTTTCAAGGAATGATTCAAGCACAAAGATTGGCAAGACACGGTATTGCAGGGTCTCCAGCAAGACCCTGAACCGTGACCTCATTTCTCGGACATGGTTAATATCCCCTGGACGGTGCTGGAAACCTTTCATCGAGTATGCCAGCTACGCCATGTCCTAGTCTCCATCGATGGTCCAATGGCCAAGTCCACCTACGCCCCGTGTCAGAGATACACCCTGCCCAAGTGCTGCGCAACACAGCCAGGGGACACAACGCGGCAACGGGGTGAAGCGACCAAGGCCTCCCCCGATGTCGTACAGAGCATCAGACTCGACGCAACCAGTGTCTAAGGTAGTCTTGGGCCGCCTCAGTCCGGTCAAGTCGTACTCAACGTCCTAAGCACCATACCCGCGGGACTCTCGGGTTCAGCCTATCCTTCATCTTCTTCATTCTCACACAAGACTCTTTGTCGTTCCTCGGTTGCGAAAACCCATCGTCTGGCTCGTGGACGTATCCTCAAGCTCCGGTTTTTCACCTTTTCCCTCATTGGATAGATACAGTCTACACCGAAGTACGAAACCCGACCAACGTCTGCAGGCTCTTCCCTTGTCCGCTTGACCCGTCCCGCACGAGTCGAGAACACCTGCAACAGACATTTTCCCTGCATCTTGACCGCCGCATCTTACCCGTCCTCTGGGCCCGATGGGCAGAAGAAAAGTTTGTCGAGCTTTGTCAAGGGTTTTTGGCCACCCAACGTTGGGCCGTCGTTATTCACACCCTAGAGACACGCAATACCTGGCCAGGATATTGAGGTGGCAACGCCTCTTGCTTCCTTCGTCCTTTTCACTCGTCCTACCTTGCCTCAAAGCTGTCCATATTTCACCCGATAAGCGTCATCTCGTTGGCCAGCGCTGTCAGTCACAGGGCTAAGTCAAGGTGCTTGCTCAGGCACCGCCCCTCATTGGCCGTCCCGGTTTTTGCTCGGCGCCTATTGCGGGAGGAATCCCAGACATGCAGTCCAGAGCACGGCAAACCCATCCCTGCGTTATCCCCTTTCATGATCACTCACTCACTCTGCTGTGTAGGTATACCAGTCTGTGGCCAGGAGAGGTACACCCCGCACGGCCATGTGAGCACCTCACTAGGGCTGGTCCACCTGTCTCTCGCCTGTCGCGTATCCTCCAGAGCCTCAAACTCAACGTGAGTCTACTCGAGGAATCCAAAAGATTCACCAACCAGCGCCAGCGCGATGCAATGTGGCACACGTTACCAAGATTCGACGACACGTGGGATTGATCAGGAGCTCGGGCCCGTTTATTGTTGTCGTCGTCGTCGAGAAGCCGCGTTACCCCGTTTGACAAGACCGATTTTCCGTCTAATGCAGGGCTGTCACATGCTGTGTTTGAGGAGACAAGCTGTGCCACTCTCAACTCGGTCTTGGTACGCTCGCTGCTGGACTTGAACAACCTAATCTGTGACCCGATAAATTGAGAGTACGCATGTCACTGCCGTACTCAGTTCGTCAACGTCTCATCTTCTGTGAGGTGTTCGACGATGGGAAGGAGGCTACAGGTTATCCATATAGCGCACTGCCGGCCTCAACCATGGCAGTGTCTTGTCAACAAACTCAGCCTCTCTCAACCAAACCAGGCACCATCATACAGTGACGTATGAGTTAGGCCTGAATGGCTCAGAGAAGGCAGTGTAATCAGCAAACCGGCCACAATGGCTTGTCCTCTTGCCTTGCGGGACCACAGGAACAAAGTTATTCGACAGCGGACTTGTGTCTTGAAAGTTCAAGGCTTGGGTTTTCGTTTGTTGAAGACAGAGTCTTTATGGACATGTCGTCTTCTTTGGTTATCCATTGTCGGCAAGATCCCAAGTTCGTGGTGACATCTTTGACCCTTGTGAAAGGCGAGGAGCACAGCGGAAAACATAGATTAGCTCCTTTCTTTTATTATCAACTAAATGCTCCAGTACCTTCCAATTGCTGTTTGCAGTATATGTTCGAGGAGAATCATCGTAAACAGAGAGCGTCCGGTTTCCAGACCATAGACTTTCTTCACTTCGAATCATGTATCATTATTGAACCATCATTACGATTACTGTACCTAGCTGATTTCTCGAAATCGTTTCCTTTTCACGATACAACGCACATACCAACAATATCATTGACAGCATGGGCTTTTGTCGTGGCATTGTGTCGAAGCTGGTCTCTGGGCACAACAATAACAACAACCAAAACAATGGCACGGATGAGCATTTCATCAGGCTCATGAACTCGGCTCTAGAGGAACGACACGTCCGACAAGGGTGGAGTTACGACGAGCCAAAGGCCGACGACGGCTCCTTCTTCAAGGTCAACTTTACTCAAGGCAAGAATAAAAGTAGATCAACCTGGCCCAGCGACTACTACTTTCAGTCCGTACAATCACGCCGACCTTTCAACACAGCAAACGTGGCGGTACATGCTGACTTGGCCAACTTGGCTAGAAGATACGACATACACATCAACGAGCTCCACAACTTCATGCGCTTCCCGCCCGTCCGCGCCGTCATCCGGACACTACTCATCGAGCTGGAGCACCCGGACGCGCAGTCCGGACCGCAGCTAGACGAGCTCAAAGTCTTCGACAGCGTAGACCAAATCGTCTCCAACACAGATGCCGCGGACCGACGGACGTACCTGACGCAAGTCACCGCCCCCGGCGCCCAGTTCGCCGACAGAGCCCTGGTCCTGTGCCTCGTCAAGCTCTGCGCCCAGTTCGAGGGCTGGAACCGCTGGGTATTTGGGTCCCGCCGCTCGACGATCCAGGTCTTCATGGCCGTCGTCGGCCTCTTTTGCAACGCGTGGGTGCAGGCGCCGACCATTAACGCCTCGTGGTCGCGGTCCGACACGCCTTCGCCCCCGTCTTTCCTGTCTTCTAAGCGCTTCGGCATCATATGCGATTCGTCTTCTTCTTCTTCTTCTTCTCCTTCTTCTTCGTCCCCTCGTAGTAGCCTCACCCCTGAGATCTGGTTCGAGTGGTCCCTCCTCTTCGACCCCTGGGTCAGACAAACTAACGCGATCCAGCTGTTGAACCCCGACCCTCTACCCTCACCCTCATCTTACCCAGACAACACCACCACGACCTCCGCCCAGTCAGCACGCCGTACGAAACCCGTCGCCGTGACGGAGGTCTCGCTACCAGAACCAGAAAAGCAGGGCCGCGTCGTGGTGAAATACGACAAGAAGCCCGACGAGGAGCGCTGGGCGTTCCGGTCAATCCTGGACTCCCGTTGGGCGGGCAGGACGCCGCGGACGGGGCTGCAGTACCTCGTCGACTGGCAGTACGCGGAGCCGACGTGGCAGCCGGCGAGGGACCTGCAGGGCTGCGACCTGTGGGTGCTGGAGTTCCATCGAGAGAATCCTGGCAAGGCTGGGCCGGTGCCTAGGTTGAGGCAATCTTTGGAGTGAAGTTGTTGGCAGCTGGGTGTAAGTTTTGGGTGTTTCATTGATATTGGGAACATGAACTCCTTTTTGAGCCGTTGGTGTTATGGTGTCCGTTCTGCGTTGAATGACTTGGTCAGGACACCTCGTCAGACAGCTTTCTATGAAGTGATGATAGAGACAGGTACAATGCATGGTTCGAGGATGTCATTGGGTTAGTTTCATGATACCCATAATGCGTAGCTTCACAGTTAGTTTGATTTCCCTCTCTCATTGCCCATTTACCCAATAGACAGTAGACAGTAGATACATACATCATATAGGTAGCTGCGGACAGAGACTCACAGTATTGTGCCCGGGTGCCTTTGATCAAGCGAATGGCAGCGAGCAGTTCACCCAGGGGTGAAATGGCGCTCGTTATTTGGGGGTCATCGACGTAGAAGGCATATGAGAATCATCTTGTTCACATAGCACGCACTAGTAAAACTCGGTGATATCAGCCAACATTTTGGAATCATGGACGTGATCGAGTGCGGTTGAGAATGAGTATCCTCCATCCAGCAGAACGAATACTGCTTAGAATAACGGAGGCCATGGTCTTTCGCATGGAAATGCGGCCAACGCGCAACGGTGACAATAATAAAAGGTGATTACCTAGCGAGAAGGGCGCTGGCTTGAGAAATCTCACCGACTTAAGTACATCGCCTCTGCCTCATACTACGTACGAGTCTTGGCTAGGAGGATGCGGCTCTGCTCATTGAGCCGGCGCCAGTGTCGATGCCCTGCTCCGCGGGACCTATAAAGTTGACCATGCAGAGACGCAAAAAGTCTGTCAATAATCAGAGGTGCTGTCGGTTGCCTGGAAGGCAATTTGATGGTTTTAAGCTGACACCTCATTCAGAAGTTGACACTCAATGATTCTGTCGTTGTTCTTGGCTACTATTCCCGTAGTCGGCCTTCACGATGATGCTGCGGAAAAGCAAAGGAGCCGATGGTCGCGGCACCGACTCGACATCACTAAGTATCAGAGAATCTCTACCGCCAATGATATCAACTCAACGTCCTAGTCCCCAAGCTTTGTGACCACAGCATTCAGATTTACCCGGCTCTCCAAAGTCTCGTCATGGGTTGTATTCGAGAAGCAACTGTGGTGGCTTGTCCTCGATGTACTTCTGCGGCAGCCTAGGAGAATCTGGCCCCTCAGGCTCCTCCAACTCTGCTATCAATTCCGGTAGCCGGTCCCTGGATCTCTTGGCATCCTTTCCTTCCGTCTTCTTAGATGCCGTTCTTGATTCATGACGATGATGGCTCTTTGCCGGAACCTTTTCCCTCCGCGTCTTTTTCTCTTCCTGAGGATCTTTGCGGCTGCTTCCTGCCAGTGGTTCCTGTGATCTGCTCACATTCTTGGCCCATTCGTGGATTCTTGCATACTCTTTTTTGCTCTTGTCAGACACCGGCTTCGAGTGTCTTTGACGATCTTTTCCCGCCTGCCCCTTATCCCTCTGTGCCTTTTCCTCTTTCTGGGGCATCTCGCGGCTTTTTGGGGAAGTCTTGGAAGGCTTTGAATTTCGGTGCTCCTCCTTTGGTTGCTCCGTACAAGGTCTCCGTAATGGACGGAATTCTCGAAATCGAAAGGGGGCTGGTTCAAAGGGATTGGGTTTGTTGCTGTGACTGTAAAATTCCATGGGAACATGTCCACGAAGGTATGGGGGAGGGTCGTCATATCCTCCGTCATATTCGCCGTAATAATCGCCGTCATATTCGCCGTAATATTCGCCGTAGTATCCGCCGTATTCCTGTTCATTCATTTTTGATGATTTCCAGATTGCCTGAGTTATGGTGTCTTTTGCACGCGTGGGCGATTGACGATGATTCTTGCGCAGTTCTCGACAAGGCCATCCGTTTCATTTTCAACATACTGCCTTTTTATCATTTTTACCTAGAGATGGATTCGTATTGGGGATTCAGAGCTGAAAGAAGCTTTTCACTTTTTGATACTTGAGCACCGTGAAGAGTGCGAAAGAGCAAGCGGGCTGTACCAGCCTGCTGTTCAGCAACTGCACCTTTATTCAGGATTGCGTTCCACAAAGTGTGGTTCTCTGGGGAGTATGATGGGATGCAAGAAGTGTTTCGGATGGCAACGAATCATTTGTGTATACCGATTCCTGTTCGTCTCCTCTCAGATCGAGGGTCACCGGGCCCGATGTCAATTGGTGCCGGGTTTTATGGGTCACGCCAGCCGGCCGAACAGTAAGGTACAAAACCTTAGCGGCTCAAAAGTCTGGTTTGTAGTCCCTTGAAGGGGCTGAGTGTCAGGTGGGAATAGAAACTGAGGGGGACTTTCCCCCCACCTCTGACGGAATGCGCTTGAGTGCACGAGTGACTGAATAGAAGAAGACAGACAACATTCATTGTTCGGTACCTTGGCTTAAGGTATACAAGCGCTACTTCCTTGCATGCTTACGCGGGATGGATTTAGTCGTTGGACTGCCCACCCACACATCGACAAGCCAAGTCCTGTGCGCGGCGGACAGGCAATCTAATTATGTCGGCGCTAGGGCAATCATTCCCGGCCAATTACCTGAGCTGGAGTTCATCTGGATAGTGATTGCACGGCTGGTCAAGTGACGTGGCGGCATCCCGTGGCTCAAGCCCAAGACCGAATTCGAGATGGTTGCCGACAGTCTTATGTGAGGTTCCCCTCTCGAATTGCTTGACCTGCCCCGACATGTGATGCTGATAAGCATGAAAGGGAACGAAGAGAACAGCTGGGTAGTTCTAAAAGCGCAGCTTCAAGTCTGACATTCATCGCGACATTCATCGAATTTACTGCAATCTCAGCATTTCAGTTGTTCGCAGGCGGTTGGCCTCCACAAGGGAAGATTGCAACAGCCACCCCGATGGCCGGCGGCATATCCGGGTCGGCTTTCGGATCGGTGATGGCAAAATGCTCCATTGCGCATTCTCGAGGGACATCTCTACGTAGGTAGCTTAGTACATGGCTGCCACCAGAGCCAGAGGTACCTCTGCGTCCGATATGATGCGGAGAAAAGGAACTGCACGACGATGAAGGGGACAGGCTGCATTGGCGATTACCCTGAAAGCCTCGGTACGGCGGCATTGGAGACCTCTACAGTCCACCTGGCTTGAAAGTCCCCAGCCTTGATAGGTGGTCCTAAGGGATGGGACCTTGGTAAGGTAGGGTCCTAGCTAGCCGAATCCCCAGAAAATGCCAAGGCACATGCCCCAGATAGGAAAGAGTACATCTGACTTCCCGCTTATCGATAACGAACCCTCCGGAGATACGACGCGGGGGTCTCGCGCGCAAAAGTCGCTGAAGGGGGGGAAGGAGGAGAGCACGGGGCGGGGGTAACTACCTCACCTTATGACTGCACGGGTTGCTTGCCTTCCAGATTTACCGGGCCAGGGTCCCAGTCACTTTCGACTCAAAATCGTCGAGTGCGTTCCACAATCCCGAAACCCTCGACGATCCTCTCCTCCGCCGAGCATCTCCCCTCCTTCAACTCCGAAGCGAACTGACGCCCAGCGCAAGGCGAACGAACCCTGCGCCGACACCTGCCCAGCACCGATAAACCGCACCGCCGCGCAACCTCCCCAGCCGTCCTCCGTGCTCCTCGCGAACGGCTACGAACGTCGCTCTTGGACCCCAAATTCATGAGTTGCGCCGTTCCAAGCCACCTCTCTCTCCGTCTGGCCTCCGCGCGCCGGACGACCACCCCAAATAAAGACCGAGCATGTGCCCCGCGCCTGATCATGGAAGCTCTGCCATCGAGGACCCCCGACCCGACGACGACGAAGATCTCCTCAGCAACACCATCGACAGCGAACACAACTCTGCCGAGCCTGTAGTCTTGGCCGGCGCTGATATCCGTACCAGAGCCCGGACAATGACGAGCACCGAGGAAATCGACAATACCATAATCCGGCCGGGCTCCGTCCGCATCAACGTCAAGGGCGCCTTCATCGTTGATCCGGATTCGAGTTCTCCGAGCAACAATGGCCGAGGTTCCCCGACCCACCATGAGACGAGCGATATACGCTTACCCAACCACCATGCGGTCGTGAGCCACATCGCCGTTGACGTATGCGAGCGACCATCTTGCTCTTCCTTACCAAGTAGCTGCTAATCACTCATCTCGCAGATTGGCGGCTCCTTGATCAAGCTCGTCTACTTTACGCGCGAAGCTCACTCTACCGAACCCGGCGGTCGTCTCAACTTTCTCAATTTCGAGACCGACCGCATCGACGACTGCATTGAGTTCATGCGTCATCTTAAGGACAAGCAGCAGACCCTCAATGGCTCTCAACCGAACGAATTGAGCGTCATGGCGACTGGAGGCGGCGCCTTCAAGTTCTACGACAAGATGCGGGATGTCCTAGGCGTAGATGTGTTGCGCGAGGAAGAGATGGAGTGTCTAATAATTGGTCAGTCCCTACAATGCTGCTGGAGCATGCTCGACAGTGGGCGCTAACCTACCCGCAGGTCTCGATTTCTTCATTACCGAGATACCACGCGAAGTCTTTACCTACAGCGAAACCGACCCCATGCACTTCGTCTCACCTTCAGAAAACATTTATCCCTACCTCCTCGTCAACATTGGTTCCGGAGTCTCGATGCTCAAGGTCTCGGGACCACGCCAATATCAACGTGTAGGCGGAACCTCGCTCGGCGGTGGTACGCTATGGGGCCTGCTCTCGCTCCTCACCGGCGCTCGCACTTTTGACGAGATGCTCGACCTGTCGGAGCGGGGAGATAATGCCAAAGTCGACATGCTCGTCGGCGACATCTACGGCGGAGACTACGGCAAGATTGGCCTCAAGAGCACCACGATCGCGTCTTCGTTTGGCAAGGTTTTCCGCATGAAGCGCACAGCCGAGAACGAAGCAGAAGACCACGGGGGACTACACAATGGCGATAACAAGAACGTATCTCCACCTCCGGAAGGCTCGGCTGAAGAGGGCCCCCACGATGCTGCCGAGCACTCCTCGGAAGAGCCCTTTTCTGGAGCAGATGTCTCACGTTCGCTACTCTATGCTATATCCAACAACATTGGTCAGATTGCCTTCCTCCAGTCGCAAATTCACAATCTAGACCACATCTACTTTGGAGGGTCATTCATTCGTGGACACCGACAAACGATCAACACCCTCAGTTACGCCATCAAGTTTTGGTCTCAGGGTAAGAAGCAGGCCTACTTCCTCCGGCACGAGGGATACCTAGGCTCTGTCGGTGCCTTCCTCAAGCGCCAGCCTCGCAACTGGGGCCGTCGCGGTTCTCTCGAGCAAGCAGAGCCCATGGAGAAACGCATCCGGGATCGCAGAATCCACGACGCTGAGATGCAGAGCCTTGTCGATGACTACGCTTCGGAATCCGGACGCGAATCAGGACGCGACTAGCAAAAGGGCATCACATTCAAAAAAAAGTAGCGGAGGTAGACGTTTGGTTGATTCTCCAGTTTTTGGGCGTTGTGCGGATAGGGGGCGCGGTATATTCTGGCATTTACGACGCTTGATGGCAGAGCATTTGCGAAACGGGGGCGAGATTCAAAGGTATCACCGGCTTGGTGGCCATCTAATCGGCACATACTCTTACATTTACCACATACTTACCAGTTTAATGTTATCAGTCATAGCTTGGCTGGCCTGTTGAGACAGGTCGGCCCTGGATTATACATAACGATATTCCATCGACACGACGTTTTCTTCAGTCTTCTCAAGTGAAGGGTATCAGGAATACTACGTGGATTTACTCTGAGCTTTTTTGTTTAACTACTAAAAGGCGTCATGCGGCCGAGGGTAGTCTGTCAGCTTGGATTTGTGGAACTATGGTCACCTGGTTTAGTGATGGGTCAACTCCAGTCACAGCAACATCTCGATTTATGATTGAAGGGATTTTCAGTTCATGGCACCTCCTGGAGACTTTTCGACGCTGTCAGTTGATCATCTCGCTAACAAGGGCCTGAATGGTATGTCACATTGATCACTATTCACGCTCCATTGCCCATTTCTGGGTTTGCGTTCATCCTCACATCAAAACAAGTCAAGCTATTCCTGTCCCATGCATACTTCTCCACGTCAGACTCATTTCTCGCTTACTGAACTCCTTTTGGATATACAGTGTATGGAACGTTCGACGCGGAGAATCAGGTGTGCCCCGGACTCGACGGATGGCCCACAATTTCGGTTTCTCGGGGTCGTGGCCGGGGCGCAGTGAAACTTATCTGGGCTGTGGAAGATTGGAGGGCCGTCCCCGGCAACTTTAAAGGTTATGCGTATTCTCCCGATCGGAAGTCTAACCTGTATACGTCTAGCTCGATAGTTTTATACAAGTCATTGCCTAACTTGGTATAAACGAGGAGCTGCGAGAAGGATAATGGTATCGTTCGATCCCCAAGTCTGAGATATATTGACCAGCTCTGATAGATTCTACACGATGACTGGCATCATGCTGCAAAACGAGTAAACAAAAGGACCTTTCAATTTCGCGGACTACGCAGAGCAGAGAATCAAGCGATTCTGCGGCATATATTTACAAGCGTGAAGTTTATGTCGACATAGAACCGTCACGGTCGGGACATCGTCGGTGCTGGGCCAGATCCTTTACTCCGCGGCTCGAGACAGTGACCGCAGCTCATTACAGCCTTCCAGACAGAGTTCGCGACGGCGTCATTGTCCGCCTCATGAAGCATGTCTACCTTTCGTAGCCGTTCGTAACGGGGTCCGGCCTGGAAGCCGACGACAGACCGTCTGAACAGCACTCGACGTAAACTAACCCCAGGATGAAGTGTACTCAATTTTCCACTTCCCGTTAGCTGATTGCACGAAAGGGTGGGCGCTTGCGATCCCGAGACAGTGGTTTGCGGTCCGACTCCAAGCCCAACGATTTTTTGGAACCGCGCTTCCTTTGGTCGGCCAGTTCTTTCGTCTCAAGTATGACCCGACTGCTGGCGCCATGTCACAACCCAAATAGTCAACCCCACTCGCACCAAGAAAGGCAAGCCGAGGTGCTGCTGCTTGTCGTCTGAAGTTCGCATGAACAAGACGTTGGGTAATCGGGGCTATACTATGTACACAGACAGTTGGACAGCGGGTGTTACCAGAATAGACTTCCTCCTGTTTCCCTAATGCGGATGCCAATCGCGAGGTTGTGTGGCCGTATAGGATGGAAGTGGCATGTTCTAGATCCGGACCCTGCGGAATCGGAGGACACAATCGGGAGGGAGGATCAAGGGACACCCCGTCGAAAGCCCCGCCCGACTGACAGAGTATCGCAGAGCTGAAGGTCATCGTTGGTCCCACCTACTGGAAAGCTTCCCGTGAGGGTGGTGTCGGGGGATTACATCATGGTAGTTTTCGTTCCTGTCATCCAACCCTGAAGTGAAGGCCGGCACCACACACACAGTCGGCCACGGCTTGCGAGGGCCCCGGTCTGGACTATCCATCCCATTCAGTCGGGGTTGCGAGCCCACCATCTCCTAGACAAGACTCCATCGCGGACGTACAAGTGAGGACTCTTGGGTGAATGGGAGGTTTTACGAAAATGTATTTAGTCGACCAGAATTCCCACGTATAGCTCTTGTCTTAGAAGCCTTTCAACACATCAGTCAAGTTCACATCAACAACAACAACACTCATTACACTCTACGAGTCCCACTTTTCGTTCTACCAGTAAACCGTCGCAAGTCCAGTACTAGCAACTAGCAAATAAGTTTCCACAGAGCACCTACCAAACAGTACCATACATCTATCTTTACACCGCACTCAAAACCTTCACCATGCAATTCTCTACCATTCTCGCCATCTTCGCGGCTTCCTTCGTCGCTGCCGCACCCTCCACCTCCCCCTTGGAGGTTCGAAAGGATCCCGGTGCTATCGTCACCTGCGAGACTCAGACAGCAGTCGATCAGGTCGCCTGCATTGAGAAATGCGTCGCAAACCCTTCTTGCATCACCGCTTGGTAAGGCCACTACGAGAGAGAGAGACGTTTTCACAAAGCACACATCACTAACTTGAAAATTAGCTCGTTGGACGCCGCTAACAAGTACACTGCTTGCGCCGTTTAACTGGATTTACGAATCTAGATTTGTCCAACTACTGGTTAGTCTATGACAGGGACACGTTGCGTTGCATAGCAGGCGACTGGATCGTGAGAGCAGTATGAGAAGAGGTTCAGACAGATAGAAAATCGAGATAGAAAATACAGCGCAATAACATTGCTGTGTCATACGACTTGCTCCTAACGTGCGATTGAACGGGTGGAGACTGGTGGGTATGTGATCTAGTACCGTTCCACGCACATCTGTGACTCTGTAGCGCTCTGTACACACTCGATTGATTGGTGCAGCTGGCTCAATCGGGAAGTCCCTAAAAGCCTATTGCGGTAAGAGAGTACTCGTGATGCTGCTATTCAGTATGCATTTTCAGCATCATCGTAGTGATTGCGTGAAGCAACTTGCCTCGCAGTTGCCCTGACGCATCAGCGCCGTGCAACAATTCCTCCACCAGAAGCTTACCAGGCACGGAAATGTAAGCTAAAGCGCACCACAATTTCTTCTCGCCCTTTCTCCTACAGGCCGTCGAGCCTCGGATGATTCGAGTTGGGAGCCCTAGTGGACACGCAACCCCTCTATGGACTCCCGTCTGCACCAACTTGCACAGCTAGCCCGAACAGAGTTACGGGCATCGTCATAAGACTTGGCTCAACTTCACTCATCGTTAACATTCCAGGATAACTCAAACTCTAACGTAACTCTATTGTTGGTTAACCTTTGGGAATGGATTCTTTACCGACTCATAAAATCGCCGCGGGCTCCGGTGTCTGATTCCTGAAAGGGCCCCACCCCGTCCGCAAGTATCGGCAACTACATCTCCTCATTTTTGAACTACAGACCCAAATCAATCCATAAGGTAGTTACGCTTGGCCTCGTGATTCCTTTCGCTTCGATTGCTTGTAGAGAGGATCAAGGAACCCAGAGCCAAAGATGGAGACAAATGCATGAATGACCAGTCACCCCTAAGCATGGTGCTCGACATTTTCATAGGCATGGTCTCGAGCTGACTCGATGAGCCTAGTTAAACTATTCTCAACTGTACACGAAAAACACTTCATTATTCGGTGGGTGGTGTTGTTGGCGAATTTGACGGATACGCCTGCCGTCGATCGCCGTAGTCGTCTCTCATGCCGGGATCAGAGTACCGCAAAAGTGGGACCGATTCCCATTTTCTCGGGCCGGCGCTAACGGAGCTGACAGCCAAACGCGCCGGGCTATAATATATGAAATAATAGGCACAAGGCCCACACGTAGATATACAGATTTTGGGTAACAAGTGTTGCAGTGCGAAAACGGCCAATTAATGACTAAGTAACAAGAATCCTAGAGCGGCCGTCTTGGTGCGGATCATTCGCCTCGACGCTATGCTTCAAGATGAATTTGTTGTCAATTTATATATCGGCGCTCAAAGGGTCTAGACTAAGCCGTAGCGAAATTCGCCTTCCTTAGAAGCGCCTTTGTTCTGTTTCATTAGTCGGCTTTGAGTTGTGGGCTAAGTCGCTTCATTCTCACCTCATCCCTGCTTAACGTAGTGGCAAGTTGCCTGGACAATCAAACGCAACTGGCGACTTGGTGATCTAGAAATGAGTGTCGCAACAATCTTAGTGAATTTAAAAACAGTAAGGCAGATTCGAAAAATCTTGGACTCCGGAATGGCTTTTCTTACCTCTAATCCAATGGTTGTACGTAGGAGAAAGATGATCAGCTGGGCCTTGGGATTTGGCGATGCGCGAATTTTTCCAGAGATTGAACCTTGCTATCTTGTCTACACAGAATTAAACGTTCCCCCGGGTTTCTTCAACGAGAGCCCCTATCAGAGAACAACTGTTTCCATAGGAGTGGAATTCCAGCCCATCCAGCCCATCATCAGCTTACCGGCCCCGTCTCTGTTTCATGTTTTTAACGGCGTCCGTATCGATACGATGGAGAGTGTGTACATTTGCCCAAGATTATCAGATCTTCCCCGCAACTGCATCCCTATACTGGGCCGGATTTTCGAAGAAAAGAGAAAAATAGCTCATGGGAAAAGAACACTCGAAAATGGGCATACCATGTCCACTACGCTGGTCTCGTCCTAGTCGTTGACCTTGTCGTGGTCCAAGTTGTTGGTGGTCCGGCAAAGTCAACAAACCACAAAGACCCATGGCACGACTCATTCTTTGACGATCGGCGCGTATCATGCAATGCGATTGAGTGTCTGGCTGAGGCAGTATCTACTGTGTCATGTTTCCACTGCCGGCGAATTTGGACAGAAGAACAGCAGCGCATCCTCGTTTCAGTACGCACTTAAAGATCCATCACCTGAAGAACCTGTAACAATCTTCAACTGTAGAGATAGAACAACGGATGGACCTGTTTGTGGGGTTTGAAAGAAGCGTATACCAGGCGTCTCTCTTCCCTTTTGCCCATGGATGAAGGCGATCCATGGCCAACTTCAGGCGTGGTAAGAAACTAAACAAAAAACATCATCAACCTGCAGTTACCCCCTGCAACGATATCCTTGGGCACCAAAGGAGACGATCCCGAGTGCAGCCGTCAACTCTATCGCACCAACAGTCCCACCAGAGATGCATTCGGGCCTCCACACAGGACCGGAGAATGCAATTCCCACGGTATGGTAGTTCCGCAGCGATTCAAGGAAAGAGGAATACATGACTCTAGTGTAGTCGAATATGTCGGAAACCCGAGATAGATGCCCGTAGTCGCGTCTATGCGGACTCAATCCACATAGATTGGAAGCATACACGAACATGCTAACGGACCGATATGCAACACGACTCTGGATACACCCTAGCATACTTTAATGAAATTGTTTCAAAAGGCGATGAAAGGAGAGAAATGATGCTAATGTGAAGACGTATTCCTCTTATCTCCCTAGAATGGCATAGGGGAAACAGCGCATTACAAAGGTTCATTTCCGGGGTCGTCTCAGCTACAACATCACATGACTCGCTGTGAGGGGCTGCTAACAACAACGGCCGCATGAGTCTCTATAATGGCTCAGCATCACAATGATTGAATTCAATGGAGAGAGGCCTAAAGAAAGGGGGGGGGATTTCAGTATTGTCACTGATGGAGAAGGTTGGAACACATCACGAGGCGAAGTAAAAAACAGACAAGGTCATTGTAGAGCGCATTGTATTCCTCTCGAAAGGAACGAGCTATTAAGTATTAATCCAACAAGCCAAGGGTATAATCTCCAACACCTCCCCTCTGCCTCCTTTTGTGATGCGTTTGCCTCCATAACAAAGATCCAAGGAAATGGTACAGGAGGGGGGCCTGAAGCCGTGTTCCCCTTTTTTCCGATGCGCTCTAAAAGTTCGCGGCCAAGTTGTGATGAAATGTGGGATAAGCCTTTCTTCTCTCAAAAGATGATAAAAGATGATAAAAACAGATTGTTTCCAGACCTATAAACCACCTATGCAATATTGTGTTTCGTAAGGATCGTAAGAATGGTATGTAAAATTGCGGGTTTGTAGGTTACAGATTGTGTGCGTGCAGCGACTTGATACAGTAAAGAAAATTTGACCACCATTCCTCCACACTCACGTAAGGTTTAGCTTAGGAGAGGGGAAAGAAAGCAGTCATTTTGTTACCCAGCTTAGAAGGCAGCGAGAGCAGCAATGGCGATGACGGCACCGAGGCCGAAGGTCGTCTTGCCGGCACCGGCGACAACGACACCAGTGGCGGTAGGAACGGCAGCACCGCCAGTGCCGATGGGAGTGGTCTGGCTGGCGCCAGCGGCAGGGGTGGTGGGGTAGGGGGCAACCGGCGCCTGGAAAGAGGCAGTCGTGCCGGGAACGTTGGGGGTGCCGGCCGGGGCAGAAGGAGCCGGGGCAGAGGGGGCCGGGACGGGAACAACATCCGAGGCGGAGTTGGTGGCGAAGGAGACGTGGGGAACCTCGATGGTGGTCTGGATGACGGCGGTTGTGGAGGAGCCGGGAACTGTGGTGCCGGCGGTGACGCAGGGGACGACGATAGTCTTGTCAATGGTGACAGTGGTGTAGTCGGCAGGGTTGGTGGCGGCGGGGTTGGTCGCCGAGACAGTGAGGGCGTTGGTGATAGTGGCAGGGACGGTGACAATGGCAGGATTCTGGGGGATGTGAGGAGCGCAGATCCCCTGGAAGAACTTGGTGGCCTTGGAGATGATATCGTCGCTAGCGCCGTGGGAGTAGATGCAGGAGAAGACCTTCTCGACGAACTTGGCGTCGGGGCAGTAGCAGTTGGCGTCTGAGTTATCAGTGCAGCCGGAAGACCAGATCCATGTGCTCAAGCACTGAGGAACGACATCGGGGCAAGGAAGGGTCTCAACGGGGCCAGCAGGGATGGTGGCAGTAGCGATAGGCTTCTCGGAAGAGACACCCTGGGGAGGGATACCAGCGGGCTGGGAGGGGACACCAGCGGGTTGGGAGGGGACACCAGCGGGCTGGGTAGCAGCAGGCTTGGAGGGGACACCAGGAGTGTGGACGTAGGTCTCGGTGACGGGGCAGATGGTGGTAGAGACGGCGACGGTGACAGTGACAACGGCATGGGACCGGGCGGGGCAGTCGGTGACCTCGGGAGCGCAGGAGGTGATGGTGTCGACGCGAGTGGTGTAGACGGTGGAGGTGGAGTCGTAGACAGTGGTCTTGGTCTCGGGAACGGCGGGAACGGTCGCAGGGACGGTCTCAGCGGGTTGGGTGCCGTTGATGGGGACAGTGGGGACAGAGAAGCTGGGGAGAGCAGCAGAGGTAGTCTCACCGCCAACGGGCTTGGTGACGGACTCGACGGGGACAGACTCGACGGGGACGGCGGCGCTGGTGGTCTCCTCAGTGGGCTTGGAGACAATGGGGGTCTCGGCAGGCTGAGTGATGGAGGGAACAACAGCAGTGGTCGACTCCGCGGGGACGGAGATGGTAGGGAGAGCCTCGGAGGTGGTCTCACCGCCGATAGGTACAGAGGCGGAGGGAACAATAGCGGTGGAGACGGCCTCAGCCTCGGAGGTGGTCTTGACTGGCTTGTCGTGAGTCTTGGTGCTCAAGGTGGTGGCGCTAGGGAAGGCGAAGGTCTTGGTCTTGGGGGGGACGACAGTCTGAGGAGGGCTGCAGTCGAAGCCGATGGTGTGAATGCCAACACCGCAGGTGGACTTGGGCTTGGAGGGCTGCTGGGGGTAGACAATGGTGACGTTCTTGGCACCACCGCACTGAGAGTTCTTGACAGTGGTTCCGGACTTGGAGCAGGCAGAGCGGTGCTTGCAGCTGGAGCCATCGGGCATGTCGTAGTGGAACTCGAGGTCGCAGTCGAACTCGACGGAGACGTCGAAGTGAGTGATGGAGAACTTGTCGGGAGCGCCGGAGCCGGAGCCGCAGCCGAAGGAGGGGGAGGTCTCCTTCTTGCTTCCGCAAGAACCCTCAATGACCTTGCCCTTGCCGAAGGTACGGGGAGCGACAAGATCGCGCTTGGAGAAGTCGCTTCCACAGGTCCAGCCCTTGAAGTCGAAACCGCCATAGTTGCTGAACGATCCAGTGTTCAAGTCGCCCCAGGAGAAACCACTCTTCTGCTTGTCGTCACACTTGTTGTCGGTGTTCTCGGGGCAGGTGAAGGAAGGGAACTTGTTCCAGCCCTAAGAAGCTTGTCAGTGATCACAGACTAGAGAAGTAGGCGAGGTCTCATATGAGATCTAGTTGTGCAGTTGGATGGGAACTTACGGTAGCAGTAACCTGGCTGACGCCGGCGGCAAGGGCCAGAAGAGCAACGCTGTTCTTCATTTTGAAAGATGTACGAGGATTCTTTCCTTTGAGTGAGAGTGATACTTTGTTCTAGTGAATGTAGGAAACAAAAAACTAAGTTGGTATTAAGTTGAGAGTAAAGAAGCGAATGACTTTACACTCAGAAAAGCGAATGGACTGTTGTTTGATAGAACGAAAGTAGGAAAGAATGTTCGATGGGGATGAGAATCGAAACAGTAAACATGGGCGGGAAGAGGAAGAGTCTATATACAAGAACGACAACTCCTTTCACAGGCAATGGTTGGGTGTGAGGTTGCTAGTCCTCACCCTCACCTGAGGAGGCGATTTGCCGGGGGGGGTGGGAGACAGACAGACAGACTGACTGAGAGAGAGAGAAAGAGGACCGAACGGGGATGAGGGACGGAGACGGGGTGGAGCCAGGCAGGAGGTGCAAGTGCAAGGCCGTGCTGCACAGACTAGGTAGAGCGGACCCGTGGCATGGCCATGGATGTGGACGGCACTAGGTAGACATGGGCTGGATGGCCGTGGTGGGCGCAGATGTGGGTATGGGATGGATGGAGAGTATGGCAGGTAAGGAAAGCCGCAAAGCGAAGCGAAGACGGGTTTGATGCCGGCCTCTCTGGTGCCCACCCGTCAACAGGGATCGGTTTTCCAAGAAAACGCTGCGACCGAAGACTGGGCTGGGAGATGGGGGATTGCAGGATGGAGCCAGAAACAGAAACAGCACTGCCTTCTTCCCGTCCGGCACCTGAGCGGTTGAACGGTTCCTATTCGAGCGCCTTCTGCTTGGATCGGAGCCAGGAACAGACGGCCAAGGGGCATTTGGGCAGTTTGGCCCCTGGACCACCCCATTGATCCTTGAGCATGAGGACGGGACTCGCTGGAGCCCGATGACTTTCCTTCTATCCAGATGGTTGGATGGTGGCCTCCTCGCTCAAGTCCCGGAGGACCTTCATGGAGCTTGCGGCACACGGTTGACGAATTGGAAGTGATGGATGTTGAGATTGAGCGTGCTCAGCCTTCCGGAACGAAGGCAATGCTCATGCTCCTGCTGAGTTTCATGCTCATGCATAACCGTGTGGTGCTTAATGGGAGCGATCCTCAGATGCTTTGGCGGTGCCGTAGGGTTTAGTCAGATTAGGGGGGAAGAGCATGGCTGCATCCGTATGGTTGATAATGACGATATGCTAAGGCCGAGGGCGAGGTCGAGAAGTGGTCATGAATAGCAACAGACGCCATGTGGAGATGGCGGTTGATGCTGGGCCGAGACTAGAGAGCACCGCCTGTTATGCTCGAGATGAAGGTGTCGACGATCCGTCAAAGCCATGGGCGGACGGAAAGGACGGGAAGTGAATGCAAGACAGCGTCGGTGGGTTGGCTTGCTGATGGTGAGATGTTGAGTCGAGTCTGTGAGGTGCAGATGGAGATGAGGTGAGGTCGGTGCGTTGCGTTGCGTCTGGCTGCAGAGCGCACTGGTGCCGCCGTCTGCAACGTTTGGATGACTGACTGGGTGAGGCCCGAGAGAGAGAGAGGAGTTGTCTGTCTGTCTGATTGACTCTGACTGACTATCCGTATTGCTGCTCCTGTCCTGCAGGAACCGTGGTCCGTGGACCATAGGCTGTGGACCGTGGTGAAGGATGCAGACTGCAGAGTTGCCATCTGCCACTTCTGCGCTTTGTTTTGCCGCCGCCATGACGCTCGGTCAGTACGTACCCTTGGTGATCTCCCCCTTGCCATACTGTACGTACCGATCAGGAGCAGGAAGGAGCAGGGACAGGGGTTGCCCAAAGAGAACCCGTCGCCGACGACGTGAGTACCCAGGCCCAAGCTGCGAGCTCCCTCTTCAGCTTCGGAGCCATCCCCTGCAGACTGTCGACTGTCGACTGCCAAAAAGACGAATGGACTTCTTGATTCTTCAAACTACGAGTCTGGAGTGAGGTGCGGTTGTGGGCTGGCCGCTTGCGCGCTATTCTTCCCCAGAGACTGCCGGGGCTACCTTACCCTAGGTAGGCTGCCTTTTCCGCCTGGCTTGGTCTGAAAATCTGGGCTGGACGCCACGGGGAATCTGGATCTCCCCAAGCAAAACACGACGCCTCTCTGGAGGGGCAACGGGCGCCTACCCCGATCTAAGTGACCCTGTGGCTTGCCATCTGCGACTCGCTGCAGCACCATGTTCCGTAATGGGAATGGCGAGTTGTTAGCCAGTCCATTTGGTAATGGTTCTGGAACTTCACACACACACACACACTTTGGTTGCCAGTTGCGACTCTGCACCCCAAGGGTGCACCATTTCTTTCCCTCGGGTGTTTTTTAGTCAGGGGCAGACAGAGAAAAAAAAGGATGGAGCCCACCCGCCCGATCCACCAAATAGCCCCATTGTTTCGCTTCCAACCAATCGTGGATTATTACGGCAGGAGTCTCTGGGGTTCGACTAACAGGACGGCCAATCTGCACGTCTCAAACAGACTCGCCGCCTCCTTTCGCCCTCCAATAAACGGGATGGACGGGATGTCCCAGGATTCCTCGATACGCTGCTTGGCTGGCCTCCGCGCCTAACGTCAGCCCATCCAGTGCTTTGGGGCCCTTTTGGAGATCAGCATGGCGGTAAGGCAGGCAGGTATGGAAGACTTGACGCTGCACGTCATCATTACCCGTGTGTATTTTCGGCCCTGCAGAAAGTCACCAAAGATGATTTGAAGGACTAATGCTGTTAAACGCGTCCCAGCCTGGCACCTGAATCTATTTTCATCTAAGCCTCACCCTACCGAATATATCTCACAAGTAGTATGGGACAGGACTGCAGGCATACGCAGACAATTACAGACGGAGACTGCCAATACTCAACGGCAATCTGTGTATCTGCAAAATCGTTTTCTGGTCCATCCTACCCTAGCCCTCCAGATAGATAGATGTTGGTAATACGCGGACCATTCTACGTACCCGAGTGGCGTGTATAGGTGGTACCTGGGCCTATAGATGCACCTCGCTCGGCACTCTCACCTGAAGAAGGATTGGACGAAAGAAGCTTATGGCGGTGTCACAGTAGAAAGGGGCCAGCCAATGACAGCTGCCAAATCATCTGGAGCATGCTCCTAAGAAGACAACAGACGACATACCTAACTTCACAAAGTCAAGCCTTAAGAGACGCTTAGTCAACGAATCAATTCAAACTTCCTGGTTCCCTGCTCGCCCAGGACCTTTTCAGTCCTGCCATCCTCTAGACAACGGTTTCTTTGAGAGCAAGAGGGTTGTTTTGAGCTGCTTCTTTTTGCCAGTCAGTCACTGCTTGCATACCGACTCCTTGCCGCCTGTCTTTGCCTTCGTCCTCTTCTTAGTGCATCTCGTTGAGTCTTCTCCCACCAAGCGAGGGGCTTCTCGCCCAGTCCAAGTTGAAACGCTCAGCCACAGCGCCAGCTTCTTCGTCGCGCTAATGCAGGAACAGCACCTGGGAGCCAATCAATGATGAGTGGGAGGGAAACCTCTTGGGAAAGGAAAGGGCAAACAGGCAGTCAAACCCCTGGCACTCTCCCCCCTGCCCCTTGCCTTGCCTTGCCTTGCCAAAAGGAGGGGAGTCTTCCTCTGCCCTGCTCCTTCTCCCCCTGCTCGCCCAGGGTAATCTGCTCCACAAATTTTTACTTCATGCCCCTGGCGCCTTGTTCACGATGTGGTCCTTCCGCCTCATCTTCCCCCTGGTTCACCGTTCAACATCGATTCACCTCGAGACTTGAGTGCTCGACTCCATCCTCATCCCCCCAACTCTGCAAGGAAAAAGCATCAACCAACGTCTAAATGGCCATACACTCGCATCCGAGTCCACCTCAATCGCAGTCCTTGACTCCTTCTCCATCCTGCTACCCTGGCCCCTTTGCCCCCGAAGAAAAAGTCTGTCTGCAAGGGCACAACGGAATCTCGAAAGGCTATGCCCTTCAGAGGACAACGGGAATACCTGGGAGCCCGGGGGTCTCAGATCCTCGGCCAACGCTTTACCCGATCATGACGCGACCTGTCGGCCCTGTTGCCCAAATCCATCGGCACTGATTCTCATCCTAGTCCACGATGCTCAGACCCTCTGGCCAGATGCTCCACGATGTTTCTAAGCGTGGTTCGCTTCCATTCGATTCACCTACCTCGCTGTTGCTCCCTGCGCTGCCACGCCGCCTGTCCTCCTCTGAGAGAAATAGGCTCGGTCCAAATCGTTCGATCTAGGACTCAGTACAGTCGACACCCTGTCAAGCGATATGATCTCGTGTTGGGTATGTTTAAATTCCAACTTATTGCCAAGATATCGCGGCTCTAGTCAACCGACCCAGGTCAACGAAAAACAACGGCCCGCCAGCAGCAGCAGCCTTCGGGATTGTCTACTGATCCGCCCGAACCTCTGTTTGCTTCCGAACAAGGCCTGTCTGCCAGCTTCATCATGCCCCAATTAAGATGTACTGTCCATCGCCAAGAGCCTCACCAATATTTGGATAGCCCCCACCCGCTGTCTATCCTCGGGTCGACTGCAAAGCAACTCGTTCATAGACGTCGCAATGCCTGAACTTTGACTGGTCCAGAATAGCAGCCCAAAGGGTCATCCATAGTGTCTTGGCTTAATTGCCATCTCGAGAACTCATTCCGAGGAAACGGTTTGTTTCACCAGGTCAGCCACCCGAAGCCAGCCAACCCGAATATGGACTAATACCAGTCCACCTCTTGGTGGAAGTCAGACCCAATGATCAGGGCTTACCTATTACCACCTCAGCGACAACGTAACGCTGGCGGTGGTTTCGCTCTCGATTCACAGCCACAGCTTCTAGGCTGCTTGGTGGCTCCCCGTGAGTGTGTGGATCGCCAAACTGCACCCTTTTCTCGGTTTAGATTTCGTTTTAGATTTAAGCATTTTTTTTCTTCGGTGGGTGGCCGAACCGCGATACGATGACTGGTCCCGCATCGGGCCTAACTTAAGGTATCCGTACAGAGAGACCTTGCAATCTGCAATCCATCGAGAAGCGAAGGCCAGACCGCGCGGTACGGTG